GTGTGATGATAGACACAGTTTATCCAAGTGGTAGATTGCATTATATCTTTTATACGCTTTATAGTAATTTCTACATGGCATACGTCAGCGTTACAAACACGTCTCGTTTTTCCGGAATGCAAATTCGTCACATCTACGAGAAATAAACCTGTTTCATTTATAAATTGGCGGCGATCGATGTCACGCGAAAATACCTACGGGATTTCCCGTGGGTAAATCGTTGATTTTGTGATTTTATAAGATATAGATCTAAGGCATTAAGGCATAAGGATCTAAGGCTAGATCAGACGTTACTTTACAATTACAACTGTATAATTAATAAGTATTTATTGCTTTTTACCCTCTACTACTTACGTTTGGATTTCAGAACTAAGAAAATCAAATATTGGATGGTAGTAGCAATATAAAATCTACACCATTTTATAAGTTAGACCTTACACACAACTGTGAAACTGCATCCAATTTGGTACAGTAGTTCTTTTTTTTTATGCAACTTAGAATGGCAAACTGACTGCTCACCTGATGGAAAGTGGTAACCGTCGCCTATAGACATGAGCAGTACCATGGACATAACAGAGTATACTGTTTTGCCCATGATACCCCCATGCGTTGCCATTCATGAGGACTCAGGTGTTACTCCTCTGTACTCTGTAAATTCACGTTCTACTACTTATATCTGGATTTCAGAAGCAGAAAATCAATGATATAGGCCACTTGTAGATGGCGTGTCAAGATAAAACATATCTACACCAATTTTTAAGGTAAACCTTACACACAACTGTGAAATTGCATCCAATTAAGTGCAGTAGTTCTTGCATGATGCCAAAATAAATATACAGAAAGTAAGACAAAATTTCTAAAATTTATTGGTTCGCCATCTAAAAGTTTTGTTAAGTAATTTTTAAGTTAGACCTTCAGAAACACAAGTTTGAAAACTGTATCCAATTTGGTGCAGTAGTTTTTGCATAAAGCTAGAACAAATATAAGGACAAAATTTCAAAAAAATATTGTATATTTATTACATCAACTGGGTGAGCTTTATAGTCTCCCAATACGCCCACCCAGGAAAGCATCAGTACAATAACATACATATATAAAAAAAGGAATAATACATTTAAATATAAATAATATATATAAAAAAAAATAACTTAACTAGAAATAATATTAGATCCTAAATCTCTGAAACCAAACACTCTGTGGTCCAACGAAACTCCAGCAAGTTGGAAGCAAATACGTTCAATTGCGGATACCGGCTCAAAATATCATTGAGTAGTTTCAATGCAAGACATAGGGAAGGTTGCTTTTGGCATTATTAAGTCCCCTTATATCAGTTTTTCTTAAATATCTCCCATGTACAGACATTGTTTAGTTACAATTTTATTATTACTACTTACAATTACTAAGAAATTCTTCATAGATGTAAAATTATACTTTTTTTGTATATTTTGTTATGACCTAGTCCGATGATGGATAGCAAACCGGTTTGTCAAAAATCCCTCTACAGGTTTCGTACATTCCATTCCAAAAACCGGTTATTGAGTTAGGTCACCTAGCTGTAACCTATAGTTTGTAAGAATATTTGTTACTGTTTCACGCAAAAAACTACTTAGTGGATTAAAAAATGAACTTTGGACACGGTTAGGTTATATTGTAAATTTATATTATTTAATATATGGTCATGTGGTCCCAGCATAGAATACGCCACCCTTTCCTATCCCGTGCGTGTCGTAAAAGCCGACTGAGGGAGGGCGAGGATTAGCCAGCAGCGTCTCTCTTAAAACATCTCTAAACTACATCATATTTGGATTTAAATTTTAAACTTCAAAATTAAATAAAAATAGAATTGTATTCGTTTTCCCATTAATGACCATTGATATATTTTAAATTCAAATAAAAAAAATTACTAACTATTGAATGCAAAAATGAGGAAAATGATGGAACAGTTGATACGATACGATGAACTTATGAACATTATAATAGAAGGTGAGATAGAAGGAAGGAGGGGAAGGGAAAGAACAAGGCATAATTACATCAGGCAGATCAAGGAAGGAATTGGTGTCGTGTCGTATCGAGAGGTGAAGAGACTCGCTGAAAAATGTAGTAAGTGGCAAAGTGGAGCTGTTAGATAGGAAATGAAGTGAAAAAATATTACAACAAAAAGTTCTTATGTTAGTAATACATTTTGTTGGAATTTCCAATATACATCCATATATGTATCAGATCTAGAACCGATTCTATGATTATTCAGAAATGCAATGCAATGCAGGTATACTATTCGAAAATGATGGATGCAATGAACAATATTTAATGCTCCTTTCCACTCAAGGTTTGCTGAAAGAGAACTCTTACAGAGTTAAGCTCGCCTGTTGTACATCTTCATTTAATATATACTTTAACTATGTAATTTTTGTGTACACTAAATTATAAATAAATAATAATCCAATTAAATGTAAATGAGCTGGTTGCCTATTGAATAATTAATTAAAATGACACATGTTTCGCGTTAGATCCGACCGAGCATTGCAATGGCTCGTGCCAACAAATGGCTGCATTCCAACACACAATATCTTTGTTTATTTTCCTTTTGATTATGGATTGCATGTTGGGGCTCATCGCTCTAATTATTTTTGCAAATTAATTTATTTAAAGTTATACCTTACTTATTATTTATTCCAGAAGAGAGTTTCTGATCTTATGCAAAAATATCGATTTTTGATATATTTTAAATCGAGAGATTTGAGATTATTGTAGTAGATGGGGCGATCTTACAAAAACCGAATTCGTCTTTTTCACGTGAATTTGATCTAGGAATGTGGTTTATTAAGTGATATCATCATAGGTATACTATATTACCAGAGGGAGACTTTGTACAAAAGTCGATTGCTTGGGTACCTCTGTCCCATTCGTGTTTCTACCGTGAAGCAGTTGTGTTTGCATGGCTGTGTTTCGGTTTGAAGGGTGGGATATGGCGTGAATTTACTGAGTACAGAGGAATAACACCCGAGTCCTCAGGAATGGCAACACATAGGGGGTATCATGGGTGAAACAGTATACTCTGTTATGTCCATAGTACTGCTCATGTCTATAGGCGACGGTTACCACTTTCCATCAGGTAAACCGTTAGCTTGTTTGCCATTTTAAGTTGTATAAAAAAAAATTAAATTTTTATTAATAATTCTCTACCGTGTGGTTCCTGGCATAGAATGGGCCACCTCTTCCTTTCCCGTGGCTGTCGTAAGAGTCGACTAAGGGAGCGCGAAGGATGGGCAGCAGCGTCCCTCTTAAAACATCACTAAAAGTCTAACTGCGGTTGCTAACTTGTCTGCCAAGCGGGGTATTCACTAGCAAAACTCCCCTTCTGGGGAAGGCTTATGTTCAGCAGTGGACAGTATGATGGTGATGACGATGAACAGTTTTATGCAAACCTCTAAATATTATTATAATGATTATTTATTTTACACTTTATTGCACCAAGTGAAAAGAGAAATAACAAACATAGTAAATATTAATGAGAAGTGATACAAAAGGCGGCCTTATCGCTAAGCAATCTCTTCCAGACAACCTTTGGGTAGAGGACATTGTGAAAAAGACAAAGGGTAGGTGGCGCACTATTATATAAATATTATCATATACAAACATATATAGATACATACATACACATACATATATAATATATACACAATTAAATATATACATAACTCATAGTTAAGAAAAAAAATATATGGAAACTATTAACACGCGTCGAGTTTGGCGGTGCGACGTCACTGCGCCTAAAATATGACATAGACACTAGTCTATGCAAGTGACGTGACATCGATATTACCAGTGTTTACATTCACAGCGTCACGGTTCTATGTAATTATATTCTTCCAGTGAGAAATTAAGAAATTTTACTGAAATTTTAGATAAGGAAGATAGTTTGTAAGATTTTTTTTTAATGGATGATAATGGAATGGTAACCCCACCCGCGCTATCGGTATACACCGGCGGGGCACCAGTGAAGAATGATAGATGAGGATGAAGTAGGTCAGTTAGCCCATCGTGACGAACTCAACAAGAATTGTTCACGATGGTTTCCAGGGGGAACCACGTGGAGGCTAAGTTTGTAAGATTGTTAGGAATTTTGGTTGTACCCAACTCATCACTCATACGGCTGAATGTATTTGAATGCAATTTATTTAATTCCATTATTTTCCTAAATAATAATAAAATTGTAATTAGATGTTACATGAGAGATGTTTAAAAAAAAATTACATGGTGTGTTGCAATAAGACTAATTGAAACGAAAACAATATTTTTTTTTTAATTTTGTCTGTCTACATATTTGTTCCGGTATCAAGCAAAAATTATATGCGGGTTTCACTTTTGTATTCCTGGAGATCTAACTTAAAAACTGAGGTACGTTTTATTTCTAGACTCCATCTAGAAGTGTTTTTTTATTGATTATTCTACTTCTGCAATCCACTAGTACGAAGTAGCGGGCAAAAAGCTAGTTTTCAATAATTTTTTAAAGGTAATATACATATTTTTTTTTAAATTAAGAGTTTTTTATATAACTTAGACTGGCAAACAAGCTGACGGCCCACCTGATGGAAAGTGGTAACCGATGTAATAGTAACTTGATGTGGGGGAAGGTATTGTTAGTAATGGGGAGGTTAGTCCTCATTGCTATCAATATACCTTATCAGGTCGGCCTCCACGCGGTTTCCTCTGAAAACTATCGTGATCAATTTATCGTTGAATTCGTCACGATGGACTAACTGACCAGCTTTTTCATCATGACCTATCACCCCTCACTGGTACCCCGCCGGTGTATACCGATAGCGCAGGCGGGGTTACCATGCCATTTTCAGCCATTAAAAAAAAAAGTACTTGATGTAATATATGTCCTTGATTTATTTAAAATAATATGCAAATAAGTGTGCGTTATGTTGGACGTTCAGTTTAATGTATCTAACTCGAAAAACTACTTAAGTAAATATTAATGTACTCAAACTTACCGGATCAGATGACCTCTTCTCGTTTGTTATTAAATGCATATTATTATCTGGATTGTCAGCAGATTTCGGTTTATTCGGACTTCCAAACACCATTTCCACTATCGCAGGGTCCAACTTTGTGTTATTTTTAGGATCCCTTTCAATATTCAAAACTGTGTCGTTGCGCGACATTGTGAATTAAATAAAACTAGCAATGTCAATTTAAAATATTCGAAATTCAAATTGTATGTAAAAATTACACTAGACAAATGATTTAACGAACAATATTATAGTGTAAAGATCACAGACGAAGCGTGGTAACGCGCTCGCGCACTTTTATGTACTGACCAAATAACTGTGCGATGCCAAGTTCCAATTGTCAACTGGTACCAGCCAACAGGTTTGTTTTTTTTTTCTTTCTACCATTTAACACGAACTTATGACTCAGGCGTCAACTAATTAATGAAATCATATGGACGTAAATAGGCTTTAATGTTTTATTTAAGGAGGATCACTACGATCCTGAACCTGAGGCCAGTGTAAAGTCCACGATGCTGGAATCAAGTTTAACTGCTGTGAAAAAGTTCCTTAAACAAAATAAGGAATTTTTCTCATGTCTATATACCACTTCCCATCAGATGGGCCGTCAGCCTGTTTGCCATTCTAAGTTGTATATAAAAAAAAAATTAATAATTATAAAATTCACGCGAACTAAAGTACAACAGCTAGAGGAAGTGAAATAACTCCAGTTGCATGACTATTTTCATTGAAAGATTCAGACAGGGACGGATTTTTATTCAAGTAATAATTTCTGCTTGTAATAGGTATAGCTAGTGATGACCTTGGTGGTATAGCGGTTTAACACAGCGTCTTGGGGGGAAGGAATTGTTAGTGATGGGGTTTAAGAACTCCATTACTGGAAATATACCCCATTATCAGTGGTTCCCTCTAGAAACTATCGTAGTTAATTCTTAAATTCATCACGACGGACTGACTTAGTCTCATCTTCACCTATCATCATTTACTGGTACTCCGTCGGCGTATATCGATAGCGCAGGCTTTCCATTCGGGCATTAAAAGCGAGTTTAATAGTCGAGGGATGGACAGCAGCGTCCTAAGGCTTAATTGCGTTTGCCAACCCGTCTGTTAAGCGTGGCAACTACTGGCAAAGCCTTCCTTATAGGGAGTCCTATATTTCAGCCATTATCCGTCCACTGCTGAACAAAGGCCTCTCCCAGAAACTACCATAAAGAATAAGCCACCTGCATCCACTAACTTCCTGCATGCATTTGTAGTTGTCACTCCATCTAGTGGGGATTGTCCTAAACTGCATTTGCCCGTACGAGGTCGTCATTCAAGAACTCTTCTTTCCCATCGGTTGTCGGTTCTTCCCAGCTATATGCCCAGCGCATTGCCACTTTAGCTTGCTTATATGTTAATCTACCCATGCAGATGATTTAACATCAAAATCGGTCTAGTAATGGGGTTTGTGTATATGCCACAGTATTACGAGTAAGCTCTAAATACGGCACTGTTGACTTGCTCACACAGACGGAAAATAGGTAAGCGTTAAAAATAATTGTTTAAGTAGGAAAGGCAATTAAATGCATTTTATTTTTTGCTGTTTTGAAACTTGCGTGACGTATAGTTTGTTATAAATATATAGTTCTATTATATATATATATATATATATAAAACTTATTTAAATATATGTTCGACTGTCTACCTGGTGGAAAGTGGAATTGTCGCCTGCAAATGTGAACAGCTAGCTTGGATATTACAGAATACTTTGCGATGTCTAGTGGTACATCTTGGTCCGCGATTGATCACTATCTTACCTGATCGAAAGTGATGATGTGGTCTAAGATGGAGTTCGTCAAACCATGAATAGTCTACCTAGGTACATTTGCCTTAAATTGATAGAATAATATCGAATTCTAAATTTTTTTATACCACTGACGTGGCAAATAAGTATACGGCCCACCTGATGGTAAGCAGTTACCGTAGCCTATGAATACCTGCAATACCAGGGGGGGAAGGGATTGTTAGTAAAGTAAACTACCAGTCCCATTGCTAGCAATATACCCTGTCAGGTCGACCTCCACGTGATACCCCCTGGAAATCATCGTGCTGAATTCCAGGTGTATTCATCACGATGGGCTAACTGACCTGCCGTTTCATTCTCACTTATTATCCTTCACTGGTGCCCTGCCAGCGTATAACGTTAGCGCAGACGGGGCTACCATTCCATTATCATCTATTAAAAAAAAACCTGCAATACCAGAGACATTACGCGCGCATTGCCGAGTTTGGAGAAACCTCTTCCCCTTTTTTTAAGAACCCTATGCTGTAGTTTCTTAAAAATACCTCGACAGGGAGCTTATTCCATAACCTAAATATTCGTGGGAGGAAACATCTCTGAAACCGCGCTGTATGGGACCAACTAGACTGGTATGGGGATGAACTTCTTGTCGATGGCGAGCTGTACGATGGTAGAAGATGGCCATGGTTATCATATAAACAGTATTATTATAGAAGTAGTCATATTATTATTACGATTCTATTAATATTATAAATTAATATAACAAATGACTTTGGTTAATCCTTACTTTTTGGCTTGTCGCCTTAACATTTCAATTAACATAAAATTTATTATTTGGGATGGAAAAAGACATAGGACATTATTTATCCCGGCCAATAAAAATATTCCTGTGTGCTGTAAATAGATAGGTTCAAATAAATCTATCTATCTATCTATCGCAGTCACGTAGAAAAAGTCGCATGTAAAAGCTAGTTAACTATATTTCTAAAAGGACTTAGGTGCGGTAACAGAGTATTGGTTTTATTAGTAGGTACGAATTATGAAAAAAAATCAAACAATTTTTCAACTGAAGAGTAAATTTTATTCAGTGAAATAGGTTTACAAATAAATGTCGAAAAAAAAAATATCGAATTATGTTGGATACAGCCTCTTGTTATATTTTAACAATGAATAATTTTGTTAATTTAAAAGCGAAAATGCGGGTATTTAATAGTGGGTACCCATAAGGGACTGACAATGGGGTCAATTCAAAGACGCCATTCTTTATAAATTTAACGAAATAGTGTAGGAATCGAATTTTAAATAGATTTCAGTCGTAATTACTTTAAGCTTTTGGTATTTTTTAACACAATACACGTACCTTAGCTAAACTATCAAAGAGGACGTCTACAAACGTGAGGTTTTTTAATTTGAACCTCCTTCTACTCTTAGTGAGTTTTCATGAGATTGCATTAGGCGGTAGAAACATATATATATAATATTTTACTATCAAAAATGTCCTTAAAAATATGCGTACTTTAAGTTTTTTTTTTTAATTTTTGATACGAGGACATCACCTTGCTTCTTTTGTGAGTGATTTATGAAATTTTAAATAATCAAGTTATTTTATTTTACCTTATTTGATTGTTTTAATCTACCTTATGTATCACGCTATAACTATAATTAAGATTGTAGAGAAAATAATTTTTTATTTTTTTATTTATGTTTACTTATTTCGATGAATTAAGAGAATAAAAACTTAATTAAATTTTTATTACAGTATTTTAAATTGGAATTACTGTAAGACACATTAAAATCGGCTCCATTATCAGTCTATTTACTTATCTGTCAAATTTCAACACCGCATTTTTTTAAAAATAAACAATATATTTAAAAATAAGTGAAATTTTGAAATGAAAATAAAATCAACATTGTAGTACATTTCAAAATTTCACACTATTCTAATATTTAATGGTTTTAGTACTTTACAGAGAAGTTTTAAGTTATTTTATGAAATATTTAAAATACATATCTAATAATTTGCATAACATTTGACAGGTAATGTAAATACTTTAAGGCGAAGCGCCATCTTGAAATTTTAAATATCGAATACAAGATTATCATAATTATATTTGGCTATACAATGTCAAAAACTGAACATTAGCCGTACCCATAAAGTCTTAACAAATAAAAAGTAGCAAATAATATGAATAAATCAATACTAATTTCTAAAATTTTGATACTAGATACCTACTTAATTAAGAGGCAAATAAACTAATAGTAATGACAATATTTTTGTATATAGAAACAAATAATAATATATAGGGCAACTTTAAATATAGAAATGGGCGACTAATTGCCATCACCCAATTTATTCGTTAAGTTCAAAATTTTGAGATAAAAATATTAAATTATTTTTAAGTGCTAATTTTTTTAGTAGCATTTAGTCCCCATGTCAGTATTTTTGTCGCACGTCTTATTACAAGTAAAATTATATCGAATGACCAGTGGCGCCATCTATTTTAACAATATTTAGATCCGTCTAGGTACGCTAGATGGAGCCACTGCTCCTGCATTATACACACAATTTATAAATAAAACTTATCGCCAGTGTCTTCTCAGAAGTTTTCCGTGGGACATACTCGCCAAATGACAAACTCGAGACACCTAATAATTTCCATTAATATTCATGTTTAAAGTTTTGCCCGTGGCGCCCGTAATAGCTATAATAATAATATAATACGGACAGCAATGCTTATGGAATATCAGTTGTAAATAACTTGACTAAGTAATAACTATTTTTGGCATACAAAATTTAAATCAAACTAATTTATTTAACATTATCGTTACATAAAATAATGGTACGCATTTTTTGTACTATTATATTAAATAACAAGATTAAAAAGTAGGAGCCAAAAACGAAACTACATCAGTGAGTTTTTTTAATAAATTCGATGACAATTGATAGGCTATTTTCCTAGTTAAACATGCACCTCACTTTTATAGTTGATCAACGAGAAGCGCAGCAATGGTCATGAATCGCCATGCGAAAATAATATGCAATATTAAAGTATACATATAGAAATTGTATTAATAGAGTAGTAAGAAAAGGGCTATGTCAAATATTATAAGTATAAAAAAAACCATAAGGGTCCTAATAAAAAATAAAACTTAGAAGGTAATACAATTGGTGCCGTGACCAGGATTTAAAACTCAGCCATTAATAGAACGGTGCATGGAAACAAAAAGAAATGTAAGGAACTTGTCACCATTGAGATTTACACTGACAAATGAAGTAATTGCTAAGTTATAGGTTATACAAATTGATATAAGCGCCCACATGACGATAAAATGTAATATAATTCCTTAAATTAGGCACATTTGTCGTTCTCTCAGGAACATATACACTAAGTTACAATAAAGACGTTATAGATCATTCTCATCTCTGAAGCCAAAGCCGAATTGCCAAAAGGGAAAGACTGCTTAATTTTCATATAATTATCTTAATATTCGTAATAATATTCATTAACCAATTAGTTTCCACTGAAGATGCATTTCGATATTCCCTTTTTTTGAAGCAATTTATCATTCACATGACATTGATTTCGGAAATATTCCTCAGATGTTTCATACATTGGAACATTTGAGGAAAGTAGAGTTTGGGAAACTGCAATATACGAGTCATAGGTTAATACAAATATTTGTAGCAATTATCAGCAATTCAAAATACGACATAAGTGCCAATAAAAGCCGTTAACATGTTAACATTAATAGATACACAAAATTTTGGACGATAATGATTACAAATGAGTATGACATTTTCAAGTCTGTTTCGATATATCTAATTGTACAGCATACGGCACTGGATACCGACGCTTAGGAACTGACTCCGGATTCTTGGATACTGTGGATTTATAGCCATGAAAATGGGCAATTGAATGGTTATATAGGAAAACAGCGGTACATACTGTTTTCATATACGCGATCACCACTCAATAACACGTTGAATTCAATAGTCATATTGTTTTTAACATAAAGAAAGTTGATACCAGATCTCGATCCAATTTACATGTCGGTAAAGCTGTATGCGCTGCGACAATAATTTTTTAGTGACGCATTTTTCTAACAGATGTAAGTACGTATCCTTTTATTCATAAAACCATCAAACGTCTTATAAACTTGTAGCTATTGAAGTGTTTTGTCTTAGGAGTGGGTAATATTTAGCTGTATCTATATATTTTAGTCACAATATCTATATATTGGCATAACAACGAAAGAGTTAAATATCTGTTATCCAATATTTAATATCGAAATGTATATAAATAACCGACCAGTACGGATAATACGGAAGTGGGTAATGACGTTTCTTCCACCATCAATATCCAAAGAACACAATATATAGATATTGGAGCGGTACCAATATTACCCATGCCTATTTTGTCTTTTGTACAAAATTTTTGATTTGGAAGAAAGTGACAGAACACTCTAATAGTTAAAATAGTTTTGTAGGAGACTTTATATGAAGAAGGGCATAACTGGCTCGTAGACCAAACAGTTACCTCCTAATTCATAAAAACTAAAACTTAAATCGAAATACAGATATTTAGCTAATGATATTCGCCGAACATATTTCGGTTACTCGATTTGTTAGATTACGTCGCAGTGTACACGATATATAATTTTAACATGTTTTTGCATAACAATATTTAATAATAACTAGTATTCAACAATATAACGAATAAAAGACATTGTGGAATTGTGGTTTGTTCTCATTTCAGACTGTTTGACGTGTGATTAACTCCTCTGTGGAAGAGAAAGAAAATGTCTATTAAATATAACCTATATGATACCTATCCTTAACATTTTAATGGGCTTTTAGGTATAAATAACATCATTCTAAATTGTCTCTAAAATTTACTAAGCTTAAATATTTACTTATTAATAAGTCTAATAATACATATCAGATACACTTATATATCCGTATCGAATAGCCGTCTAGATCCCGGCATAGAATAGGCCACCCTTCCTTTCCCGTAAGTATCGTAAAAGGCGACTAAGAGAGCTTATGGTAGAGGGATGAGCAGCAGCATCTCTCTTAAAATATCACCAAAAGCCAAACTGCAGTTGTTGACCTCTCTGCCAAGTGTGACAACTACTGACAAAACCCCCTTCTGAGGGATGATCAGTTAATGGCTGATACAATATCACTACATAGTATAAAACAAAGTCGCTATCGCTGTCTGTCTGTTATGTATGCTTAAATCTTTAAAATTATGCAACGGATTTTGAAGCAGTTTTTTTTTTAAATAGATAGTGATTGAAGAGGAAGGTTTATATGTATAATATGCATAATATTGTAGAGAAACACTGACAATTTTAGAGGTTTCTAATGTGATGTGATGTAATGTGCTCCCGTGCGAATTCTAGTAGCTAGCAGAATCTAGGTAGCTAGTAGAATAATATGATATGTATATGACAGACGTGCCCTGCAGATGTCTCTGAAGGGCATGGATGTTTTTCTATAAGAGAGATTGCTCAGTACAATTATTTAATTTTCTCTTGCATAGGTGTATTGCACTTTGTTCTCTTAGTCGCCTATTAGAACATTTTGGAGACGAGTAATGACGCACTGAATTTTTATTTCATAATAATACAGAAAACCAGGAGGATCAAAACCATACAACCATAACAGGATTTACTTTGAATAACCCGCCGATATAAAAGCATTAGTCCATTAATATTACGCCCTTGACGCGAGAGACCTATTAAATTCGACAGGTTATGTATAGTGTATCGGAATGTTTCTTGTAAGGCGGGCTTTCAATTAACAAATAGATATTACGTAATTAACTTTTTACAATTTTATATAAAAAAGGATATTAGTCGGTATAAAAAAAACTATGTTCGATAAATGTATAATATGAATGTAGGATTGATACGAAACGGAACGTATGTTAAATGTGAATGTTGTATGCATAGATTGGAATACGAGGAATGATGACTGATGTGGAGTGAAGTGAGGAACGGTTGGGGAGAGAAAGATTAAGATGGACGACAAATGAACGAGTGTGTGTGTGCTCGTACGAATTATTTCAAAGAATTAGTTTTTTTTTTTTTATACAACTTAGAATGGCAAACAAGCTGACGGCCCACCTGATGTAAAGTGGTAACCGTCGCCTATAGACATGAGCAGTACCATGGACATAACAGAGTACACTGTTTCGCCCATGATACCTTGCTTTACGATTGCTTGAGTACCTCTGTCCCATTCGTGTTTCTACCGTGAAGCAGTTGTGTTTGCACGGCTGTTTCGGTTTGAAGGGTGCGATATGGCGTGAATTTACTGGGTACAGAGGAATAACACCTGAGTCCTCAGGAATGGTAACGCATGGGGGGTATCATGGGTGAAACAGTATACTCTGTTCTGTTCATGGTACTACTCATGTCTATAAGCACGGTTACCACTTTCCATCAGGTGGGCCGTCAGCTTGTTTGTCATTCTAAGTCGTATAAAAAAATGAAATTGCCCCCCCTGTGGGGTGTGAGTCCCCCACGTTGGGAAACACCGATCCAGGGGAACTCAATATATAGATATCGGATCGGTATCCATATTATCAACGCCTACTACACACCTGCTTTTCTTATTGCCGTTTCGATGTGGTTTGTACAATCATAGAATTAAGTCCCGATAGTGTATTTAAAATATGTATCTACAACACGAAAATTCAAAATTATCTAAAATAAAATATTTACCAACAATTACTGGAGATTCTCTATGTCCTCTTCGAACAGCCGTTTGCCACCTTTCAATATTTTCTCTTCAGCGTTGCCATGTTTCTTCATATAGTCTTCTAGCCTTATCAACCACTGCGCCCAATGTTCTCTCAACTTATCAGTGGTTAGGTGGTAGGCATCGGCTTTGGAGCCGTCCGTATATGCAATAACGAGTAAGGCATCACGCACATTCAAATGCTTGTAGTTAAGATCATTGCATACAGCTCCGAAATAAGCTGCCAATTGTACTGGATTGTCGTAGGTCAGAGATATAGATTTGCGTGGTTTATCAGATTTTTTCCATTCAATCAGTGTCGGTTTATCTCTGCAATGAAGTAAGTGGAAAATTATTAATTTATTTAAACTTTATTGACCAATTAAATGTGGTACAAAAGGTGAACTTAATGGTATAGGCATTCACTACCAGTCAACCTTTAGAATGTGCAGAGATACTCGATGGCACAAACACAAATATTTGGGGGAAAAATGTATTACATCCAGAGGTGAAAACATTTTGATAAGTTTGCTTCTAAACTGACTTGGCTGAATTTTAAATAGAATAAAAACAGTGTTGTTTACAAACGTTTTCTAAATCGTCACTTTTTAATGATGTAATGTTTTCAAAATTGGTTGTAAGCCAATTTTGAATGTGTAGTAATTTTTTTAGAAATAATATATTTATTTTAACTTTCTTTGAGAGAAATAATAAAGAGTATTTATTTATTCTTAGTATTTATTAATTTTAAAAGATAATTTTGATATTAAATGGATATAAGTAAATAAAATTACATAAGCAAGTACAAATCTGTCACGCATGTCTCCCTATGGGACTACTGACCTCTTTCGTTTCCTCCACATTCATCAATGTTTAATAAAATCTCATAAAATTACTCTTGTCTCAAATAAGTATAGGCTATTACAGAACTCTAAACACACACATAAATTCTGTTAATAATATTCTAATGAGCTATATTATGGATTAATATTCTAGATATCGCTCTATATTATGTATATGATATTAAACTTCATGTTCAAATAGTTTAATAAATAAATCAGTAATGACCGAGACCTCATTAAAAAGGTAATTACAACATACCCTGTGACAAATTCAACGGCTGATAAGGTGATACTAAAAATATTTCTTCCTAATAAAATGAAATATTAATGATTTTTAAATGGAATATTAATTATTTTCCAAAGGGGTTTGGCTCTTTTTTTTTTAACGGGTGAAAATTGCATAGTAACCCCGACCGCGCCATCGGTATACACCGGCGGGGCACCAGTAAGAGGTAATAGGTGAGGACGAAAAGGCAGGTCAGTTAGCCCATCGTGACGAATTCAACGATAAATTAGTCACGACAGTTACCACGTGGAGGTCGACCTGATAGAGCATATTTATAGCAATGGGGACTAACCTCTCCATTATTAACAATCCCTTCCCCCTGGCTTGGCTCCTTATAAAAGGTGAATATGTTCTCACAGACATGTCTTTGTAAAGATTTGTTTTTATCTTGGGGTCAATACCAAATAATTTTAGTATGGGCATGGCCCATTCGGTTCCTCGTTTAAATACGCCTATGATCATACCAGCTCTTGATTGTTCACTGCTGAACATAAGCTTTCACATAAGGGGAGTTTTGCCAGTAATTGTCAGACTTGGCAGGCGGATTGGCAACTGCAGTTTTTTTTTATAGGTGATAATGACCCCACCCGCGCTATTGGTATACACCGGCGGGGCACCAGTGAAGGATGATAGACGAGGTTGAAACAGGTCAGTTAGCCCATCGTGACGAATTCAACGAGAATTGTTCACGATGGTTTCCAGGGGGAACCACGTGGAGGTTGACCTGATGCCCTATCATCATATATTGCTAGCTATGGGGCTGTTAAACTCCATTGCTAACAATCCCCCCCCTGGCAACTGCAGTTAGGTTTTTAGTGATGTTTTAAGAGGGATGTGCTGCCCATCCCTCTACTATTAAATTCCTTTAGTCGTCTCTTACGACACACACGGAAAATGAGGGAGTGGCCTATTCTATGCCAGGACCATACAGCGAAAAAGCCTTCATCATGAGGCCTATGAGGAGCGGTCTTAATTGCTATTGATGAGGGATCATTGCAAGAGCAATAGAAGCCAAAACAATAATTTTTGAGAATTTTTGCCTGCGTATTAGTATCTTTGTTTAGGGATCATACAAAAATTAGAGCACTAAAATCAATGTGGATTACACAGGGGTATTCCTAAAGGTCTAATTAATTGGGGGGAAAGGGATTGTTAGTAATGGAGACTGAAAATCCCATTGCTAGCAATATACCCACCAACCAGGTCGACCTCTTCGCGATTCCCCCTGGAAACTATCATGGTTAATTCCTGATGAATTCATCATGATGGGCTAACTGGCCTGTTTTCATTCTCATCGATCACCTTTCACTGGTACTTCGCCAGCGTATCTCGTTCCCGCAGGCGGGGTTACCATACCATTTTCACGCATCAAAAAAAAAGATCTAATTATAATTCTAGTACACGTTTTATATATATATATATATATATATATATATATATATATATATATATATATATAACTGCAATTGCATGTTTCAAGAATAGAATAGAATAGAATAGAATAGAAATCATTTATTCAAATAAACTTACATTGAAGCACTTTTGAAAAGTCATTACATTTTTTTTTAATTTACCGCTCGTTCGGAAAGCTGTCTCATCACAAGAAGAACGAGCAAGAAACTTGCGTGATGCTCTTTTAAATAATTTTATTATTATTTTACATTTTTAAGTTTAATTGTGTGAATACAAACCACCAATTAGCACTAATTCAATTAAATACTCAAAAAGAAAAAAAAAAATTGAATACATAACCAACTGGTTAAACAATTAATAAGAGGAAATCAGTCATAGTGATTAGAGCAGACCAGTCCCTACAAGCAGCACCCGTTCACGAGTATGACGGATGAGCCAGCCATCACTGCGCTCGACCATATTTTAGGGAGCCCAATGACCCGGCCCACCACGCCGCCACAAGTCTGGACATTTTAGTGAGCATGACTACTCAAAACACTAGACCACGTCAAAGCTACTCACAATTGCCATCTGATAGTTATAGTATTCACATTTTACATAAGAATGCATGCGGCAATTAATACAAAAAACCGCTACGCTTTCATATTTCTAAAATTAATCAATTAAATCAAGAAAGCAATGAGAAAAAAAAATTATAACGTTGTATGCTAATAAACTAATTATTTACTTGATATGTTGTCATCTATGAATTCGTCTATCCTGTAATAGGCTTTCTTACATAAAAATTGTTTAATATAAGATTTGAATTGCCTCTCTGTCAGATTTAATGCAGATTCCGGCAGTTTATTATAAAATCTTATGCAATTACCATAGAATGAATTACTGATTTTGTGCAGACGGCATTTAGGTAAAATAAGCTTATTTATATTGCGTAAGTTTCTACTTGTACAGTCTTTGAGTTTTTTAAAACTCGCTAAGTTCTTCCGTGTATACATAATATTTTCATAAATGTATTGTGAAGTAACTGTGAGGATATTTGAGTCTTTAAAGCACTGACGTAATGACTCTCTTGAACCCATACCATAAATAGAACGTATGGCTCTCTTTTGTAAAACAAATATAGTATTTATATCGGCTGCTTTACCCCACAGCAGTATGCCATAAGACATTATGCTATGGAAATAACTAAAATATACAAGTTTAGCCGTCGCCACGTCTGTTAATTGCCTAATTCTTCTAATTGCATATGCAGCAGAACTGAGTCTACTGGCCAATTTTGAAATATGGGGCCCCCATTGTAATTTCGAGTCCACTGTTATACCTAAAAAAACTGTATCATTAACAAAATTTACTATTTCGTCATTAAGCAATAACTGTGTATTTATTAGTCTTACATTAGGAAGTGTAAATTTTATACACTTTGTTTTGCTGGAATTTAATAATAGGTTATTACATGTAAACCAATTTAATATTGCAGACATAGCACAATTTACATCGTCTAATTGATTACTTTGACGTCCAATTTTAAACACTAACGAAGTATCATCCGCAAACAGCACTATATCTGCAATTTTCTCTACCATAAAGGGAAGGTCATTTATGTAGATTAAAAAGAGAAAGGGGCCTAAGATTGACCCTTGTGGAACGCCCATCTTAATATTAGCTCCCTTAGATTTTACACCGTCAATATCTACAGTTTGAACCCTATCCTCTAAATAAGTTCTCATTAATTTTAGATCATTATCTCTTATACCATAATGTTCGAGCTTGTACAAAAGCGTTTTATGATCCACACAATCAAATGCCTTTGATAGGTCACAAAAAACTCCGAGTGCATCCTGTGACCTCTCCCAAGATTCGAAAATATGTGTCATTAGCGCAACACCTGCGTCAGTGGTAGACTTGCCGGCGGTGAAACCATATTGCTGACTGTGAAGCAGTCCGTTAACCCTGAAGTGATGTAACATTTGATTTAACATTATCTTTTCAAACACCTTACTTAGAACTGGCAAAATAGATATAGGTCTATAGTTCCCTGGCTCAAATTTATCTCCTGATTTAAATAGTGGGATTAATTTGCTAAATTTCATTAAATGTGGAAAAACGCCATTATCAATACATTTATTAAAAATAGTGGCTAGATATGGAGCAACAATATCTATGAAAGAACTAACTACTTTTACAGACATGCCCCAAAGGTCTTCCGTATTTTTTAAATTTAGCTGTTTGAATATTTTTATGATATGAAAGGGGCTAACATGTGAAAATTTAAATCTTAAAGAACAACAACCGATATTAGTCTCTAGTAATTTTTTTGCTCGAGATTGAGATGAGTCCAGAGAAGATGTAATATCAATCGGAATATTAGCAAAAAAATCTTCAAAAATATTAACTACATCTTTTGTTGTTGTTATTAATTTATTATCATAATTTAATGTAAATTGATTACAGGCTATTTTAGATCTTCCAGTTTCTTTATTTATAATGCTCCAGATGGTTTTAATTTTGTCAGAAGACTGCTTAATTTGTTTATTAAAATAATTAGACTTAGCCATAATACAAACTTTTTTAAAAATTTTAGAATAATTTTTTACATAAGTGGTGAATTTGTCATCAAATCGATATTTTTTTTGATCGTATAAATCAAACAAAATATTTCTACTTTTAAGTATTCCTACTGTTGCCCATTCCGTGAATTTAGATTTAACATGAACTTCTTTTTTCTTGAAAAATTGTTCATATTCTCCGGATAAAATATTAATTAGCTTGGTGTAAAGATAATCAGGATTATTACTAGATTGTAACAGCAAATCCAATTTATTTTTAATCGCGCTTTTGTATTTATTAATATTGTAAACGTTTATTTGTCTTTTTGATTTTTTATTATTGTTGACTTTATTGATTTGACTGCTAAACTTAACAACTTGACCACAGTGATCTGAAGGAAGTTTATTTATTATGAATTTTTCTGTATACTCGCAGTTACAAAAAACATTGTCAAGACAAGTAGCAGACGTGGCAGTTACACGAGTGGGTTCATGAAAGACATGACATAAATCAAATGACTGAAATAAACTAATAATTTTTGTACATGTGGGTGTGTTACAAAGAATATCAACGTTAAAATCTCCACATACAATAATTTTTTTAATACTATTAAATACTTTTTTTAAAATATCCTCCATCACCCCTTCAAAAACATTGTAATCACTATTAGGAGGCCTGTACACACATATAAGGATATAATTTTCTAGTTCTATACAAGATAATTCTATACAACACTCAATAGAAAGTCTAACAATGTCAGCACGTTCCTTTACTTTAATATTATTTCTTGCAATTATCATAGACCCGCCTCTGTTAACTGACTTTCTATTGAAGCAGCTGACAACGTTATAATTATTTAAATTGAACATCATATTGCTTTCTTTAAGCCAATGTTCTGTGAAACAGACAATATCAATATTATACTTTTCTAAAAATAATTGTATAATTAACTCGCTGCCGGGAAAACTTTGTATGTTCTGATGAACAATTATTAATTCTGATTGCTTTCCCTTTGTCTTTGTGAGCAGTTTAAATCTGCAGTCATAGTACTTATGTCACAAATATTAATAGAATTATCTGTTATGTCAGCATTTTTATGTTTAAGTTTACCATGTAAACTGTTCATGTAGTCAATATTATAAGCCACTAAAGTGGCTATTTTATTTTTAGATGATTTAGAAAGATACATTGTATCTTTTGTCAAATAAAAATCACTAATAAAACTATTAGTATCAAAAAATGTCAAAATGTCACTATGACGACATGTCAATGTATGTAATAAGTTATTCAGGTAATGTACCTTACTGTTAATTTTTTTATGAAGATGTCTATTTGTGTAAGGAAAAGCGCACAATACAATCTTATACACATTTAATTGTAATAAATATTCAATTCCTTTAATTACATCCTGTCTATTTAATTGAATACTATTACCAAAAAATAACACAATTGTGGTCATATTGTTCATTTTCGTAGACTTAATTTTATTTATTATTTGTGTAAATGATGCTTCTGGCATGCAGTAGTTTAATAAATCACCCTTAAGATGATACTTCAATATAGACCCAAAGTTACAGCCTATTCTGTCAGAGAACACCATTGTGCTACTCTTAGGGTTACAGTCACTGGCACAAACACCCTGAACTTCATTTTCCAGCACAGTTACAACTGAATTATTATTTGATATATTTGTGTGATTACATGTACAATGCTTAGTCAACGACTCAAAACGGTCAGCATTGTATTTACTGACATCAATCAGATCATCCATTGCTAAAATATGCTCCTGGATTTGTTTCTGAGAGATAATATACTTTGTATTTAAATCATGAAGCGAAGATTCTAAACTATTGATTTTTGAAGTTAGGTAGTCTGTATCAATGTCATATAACTTTTGGCTTTCCACTAACTTATTATTACACTTATTAATGTAATCATGCAATTTTAAATTATTCAAAGTGGTTTTTTTCAATAATTGTCCCTTTTTGCAACGCTTATTTAATATATTCCGATTCTTAATTATAAACTTTTTTAGTTTTAAATATTTTTTAAATTTATTATTACTCAACATACAAATATTACTGTTATAGTTGCCTAATTTAGGTGATGTATCACTAGTAAGGTCAATTACAACAGGATGGGTGCATGGAACTGTAGTAGAAGGAGGCACACAGTCAACACTAATAAGTTCCTCATATAAATTACTAATCTCATTACTTTGTCGAGATTCCAATCTTGTGTCTAGATCATTGATTTTAGAATATGCCTGCTTTAACTCAAGTTCCAATTCAGTGATACGCCTCAAGGCTTGCTCATGAGTGTCACTACATTGATGAAAGCTACTTATTAGTTCTTGAAGCTGATCCCGCTGCTCAATAACTTCCTGATGGCTATTATGAAGTTCTGACAATTCTGATTTTAATTGGGTATTTTTATTTATAATTTTTAAAATTTCATCTTCACTCTCTTCTCTCTCCCTGATCAACTTGTCACTGAGATCTTTGGATGCCTGAAGTTCTTGTAGGGCCACTTTAAGCTTCATCTCTGTCTGCCGTGCAGTTGTGGAACGGGTAGATAGTGACATTATTGAATATATGAATAGTTACTAGGGAGAGTGAAGTGAGTTATTTCTAAAAAAAGTATCACAACGAGAACAGCAACTGAACCTTACTTATTTTATGTGTTAAAATTTTGAATAATTTTTGTTAGGTATATTTATACGACCTATATTTTACAAGATTAAGTAAATGGAATTAGATTGTGCTCCTTTCCTTCAAATTACATTAATATAAAACATAAAATTACTTACAATATATTTTGTGGGTATATTTTTTCCTTCGACGTACGCAACAACTGAACTTCACAATTATTAATATCAATTTAACTTGATGTGAATATTTTCTATAAAACTTGTATATATTATGAAATTCTTTGAATAAGTCCAACAAATAGTTATAAAATAGTTTTAAAATTAGTTGTTTACCAACGAAAGAAGTTTGACAGATGGCCGGTGCACTATTTTAATGTCGATTTTTGCAAATAATACACTACCAAATTGTACACAAACAACAATCGACACTTATTGCACTATTATATCACTAATAACGATGTCGAAAATATAATATTCGTGTGATAGACTATTAAAAATTATTTATTTATTACGGCCAGCTGAAAATGACAACTGTCGTTGGTGTTGCTAGTCGAAGAAAAAAAAGAAAGAATATATTAATAATAATAATAATATTCTTAATTATCAGGTACTTAACCCATAGAGGTACAATTGTATTACAACGTGCTTGGATAACATATAAAAATATAACAATCAAAACATACAAAAAAAAAAATATAAAAATTAAAATATGTAGAAAATTTATAAAAAGTATTGGTAATAATTTATAAACAATGTCTAAAGTACGTAGATTAGAAATTTCTTATGAATCAATCTATAAATAAACAGTCTATTTCTAGGTGTCTTATCTACAAAAGACACAACAACGCTTGATTATCGTCAGGCGCCGATCTAGCCCTCTCGTTATCGATTTATGATTATACCTAACTATCAAAGAGCAATTACAATTACGATATGACAGTTAAATTGATTATATAAAACAATCCCCAGTTTTGCTACCGCCATCTACCGGCTCCATTTGTTGTTATATGAATAAAAACTACCCCATCTCTCAAATTGGAGCAAACAATATATATTTAAAAAATATCATTAAAATCGATTTAACGTTTTCGGAAATTACCGTGACCATCATGTATATATTTATTCGTCTATATATGTAATTTTAGTATGTATGTATATCAATAATTAGTAGTACCCCATTCGAGTATTCTGACACTTCCCTATGGTTGACTGGGAGAGAATGCTTTTAGCATTAAGTCCGCCATGTACACATATTTGTACTAATGAATAAATAAATAAATAAAAATGATATGGATAATTAAAAAATATTATTATTTCTACCTCTTTCTTATTTTATAATTAAAATTTATATAAATGTTATATATTGACGGATATAAAGAACATATATGTACCTATAACAGTTAAAATTGACATATACATACATAGTTTTGACCTGCGAGATGGACAAAAAAAAACAATATTCTCCGTGAATCTTGTCATTACTTAAATTAGATTATAAAAATTTAAAAAATATATTTAAATTAAATTATATCTAGACAATATCTGTACATGCGAGATATTCAAGAATTAATATGAGGTGTTTTAATAAGATCAATAGATGCCAAAACAACAATTTTAAGAATTATCAGTCAGTTTATATGTTCCGGAATCACACACAAACTTCTATAAACTAAATGTGGTTTTCACAGGTGTGTTTCTAAGGTGTAATTGATGTAAAATGTTTGTTTCATCTTAGTTTTCCTACATCTGATATATAAGCTACTACTAAATAGAATAAAAAATTACATTATTAATATTTCACATATAAATAATATACTTACTCATAATCAGCAATAGCATCAAATATGCCTCTATACTTCAACACTGGATGGATGACATTGGACTCTATCGCCTTTGGTGAGGATATACTTTTGAGTAAATCAGATACAGAGACCCACACTCCCTCCACTTCTTTCTCAATACGAAGCTGAGTCTGTGGTTGTGTGAAGTAATTTTTCAGTGTACTGTGGAATTTGGTGCCAACTGCCATTTGTGCTGTTAATATAAAAAAAAAAAATTAGGGATGATTTTCAATTTGTTATCATGGTCTAGCTATAGTATCCAGTAAGAGAATTGGGTGCTATTCTTAGGTTAGATGGTGTAAACGAAATAACTATACAGACATAATACAAATAGAAATTTGAAATGAGTAACTGTTGAGTTCCTGTTTTCTTAACAGGTATCAACTTTTTCAATTTACAAAGGAATCATAATCCAAAATGATGATTTAAAAGAAATTCTGTGTGTAATCTACTTCAATGAAGTTAATTCTAACTTCAAGTTCAGAATAAACAATTTATAATTGAAATATTAGATAGAAAAATATACAGTTTAAGAGATTCTCCACTTTTTGAAGTCCGTCAAAAATTGTAACTTCCTTTTTTTTATACTACTGAGGTGGCAAACAAGCATACGGCCCACCTGATGGTAAACGATTACTGTAGCCTGTGAACGCCTGCAATACCAGAGGTATTAGGCGTGCATTGCCAACCCTGAAGAAACCTCTTTACCCCCTTTTTGAAGAACCCCATGCTGTTGTATTTGAATTCAAATTCCACAGATATCCATGACCATGTTGTAAAATTATATCAGAAAAGAGGTACTATGACTACATTCTTCAAAATATTTGTACTGCCACTATATTTATTGTAAAATAAGAATAACTAGTTAGTTGGCATATTTTTAATCTATTGTTAAACTAGAAATATATCTGCACAAAGTGGTTTTTATGAATGCATAAAAGCTAGGCTTTAAATTTAATCAAGCATACTGAAAAATCTATACAAATAATAAATATAATTATTTCTATACATATAAATATTCTAAAATACTGCTAGATATATAAATAAATAATTAAAGAATTTTTCAGACATATAATAACAAATGTTACCTTCATAAAATTTGTTGAATGCATCTAAACCCATTTCGGCAATTCTTTCCTGCTTCCATTTCTCTAGAGCTGCTCTTGATTCCTCTGTCATAGTTTTATTCAATATAAGAGTAACGGAGGGATACTGTTTGGCAAAATCATTCTGGTAGGGCTTGATCTGCAGGATTCCATCTTCACTTGCATAACCAGGTTGAGCAGGAGAGCTCGCTGCATGACTTGATGCAACTGTTTTGATGCCTCTTACAGCACTAGTATTCAATAGGGCCCCCACAAGGTTGACACAAAGCTTTGTATTTTGAAACATTCTTTTTTTTAAATCTTCAAGAACAGTCAGATTTTTATAACCAATTAAAAAGTTGACCTTGTCAACTGCATTCTTCTCAAACTTTGTATTTTCCTTTGGAGAACTCGCGTCGTTGTTTTGATGTGAAATTTTATTTTTAGCTGTAACAAAGATAACATTAGCAAGTAATGTATATGCGTAGTTACATCACACGGCGCCAAAAACGTTGTCATATGATTATAATTGGCAACGTACACAACACGAGTTGGTAATTTAATTAAATACGAATAGAACGTTGAACAGTATTATTCGCAACCTACGCAATAATAAACAGAAATACCTTCAAGTGGACTGTCAAAAGCTTGTAACAAACTACAACACATTTAGTTGAACATAACTCGAAGGAAGGTTTTATATGTATGTATTACAAATTTACTCAAGTATTGGTCTACAACCGTGCAGGTAGAATTTTTTTTTTTATAAAATAGAAAGTCGGTTGTTCATTGTCAATTTACAAGGCTATAAAAAATTTACAGTTGCGGCTTTACCTGCTTCTTTCAGTCGCCGTTTCTTCTGTTTGTTCGTTTCTAATAACGGGCCGAATAATTCTTTGTTTTCTTTTTGGTATAATTTTATTTTTTCAGCAGGGTTCAAGATAGAAGCGGGACGTATTACTTTGTTTCTAATATTTTGCTTTGAACAACTCTTAAATTTAATTTGTCGACCGATCGACGAAATCGGTCGGAACATTGCGAAATATCTATTTTTATTCGTATAAAAAATTTTAGTAACACGAATTTAAAGAAATTGTCTAATAAATAGGTATATAGGTATTGAGGTTTTAATTATTATTAAAAATAAAAACTTACCAAAACCTATTATCCACAGAGTACTTTTTAGATTTTTTAAACAAACAGAAACTACAACTTTTACTACTATTCTAAGCTACTATTACAGTTTATAAAAATGAGAACCCGCGGTGGTTGCCCAACGAATACGAATTTCGACAGAGCAATAGTTCGTGAACACAAATCAAACTCCTGAATGCGTTAATATTTCATAAGAGTGGTTATTTTCTAGTTGCTTTACATAGTACTTATTATTATTTAATTTTCATTCAAATAAAATTTTATTTAAAGAATAATTGTTTTATCTTTGTTCCTTCCTGGTTGTCACTGTCAAATGTCACTAGTGTCAGACCCATTGAATGTCAGTAAGACTGTCAATAATTTGCTTGTCTGTTTCGGTTCGGTTAGTCGGTGGTTTTAGATTTTTCTCCGGAATTTTCTTGAATAATGATTAATTCATTATTGTTCTTTAAAGATTATTGTAGTTACGGTAATATGTGTATATTTGAAGTGAAATAGAATATGTTATCGCACAATGAGTTCAACGTCAGCCGTGGTGTGCCGTGAGATATTTGACGAAAATAGTCAGCCGTCTGCTGAAGGTATTAAAACTTCATTGAATATTTTGATAAATAAGAGTTATATTTTGAAAATAAGAGATTACAATTTCGAATTATTATAATTCTGTTATATTAACACCTCAAATATACTCTTAATGTATGAATAGGTTGTAAATATCAGGTAAAAAACAAGCGATCGGTAGTTGCGATACTTAGTATTATTTTTCCGATTTCAGCTAATCGTTTTTATGTTTTCTTATGATTTATAAATAAATTGAAAGTCTTATATGAGCGGTATTGAGGAAAAAGATAGGGTGATAAGTTTTTTATCCTTAAGAATGTAAAACTGTCAGAAATGTAGTTTTATTTATATTTGAAACTTGAAATAAGTTACTTGATTGTACAAATTAATGTAAAATCAAGCACAGAGTCAAAGAGTAGGAGGGATTTACTTCTCTGATTCTTTGATTGTCTCATGGGGGATGTAGAGGGAAAGGAGTAATTTGTTTATGTCTGTGATTTTTGAAAGTAACAATACTGTCCTAAGAGACAACTAAGGAAACTTAATGGTTGAGGGATAAGCAGTAGCGTCCTTCTTAATATAACCAAAACTAAACTGCAGTTGCCAACCAGCCTGCAAAGTGTGGCTATTGCTGGTAAAACTCCCCTTTATGGCCAGAAGCCTGCCTATGTTTACTCACTGTAATCTTTTGTAACTTGTAACTGATTTTTAATAAGTTTACTAATGTATTCTTTTGTAGGAAACAATAGAGTATCTATCTATGCCTAGCAGTGGAGAGTTAACTGCTGATATGATGATGATGATGAATACCAAACCTTAGGAGTGATGTGTGTTATTTTATTTCCAACGGTTAAAATATGTGCTGGTGTTAATAATAAGTAATATTAGTTATATATGATGATGCAGGTGGCTCAGGACCATTCCTTATGGTAGTTTATGGGTAAGGCCTATGTTCAGCAGTGGACAGATAATAGCTAAGATGATGATGATTGGTTAGAAAAATTTAGATGATAGGAGATATAAAAAAAAAATTATACTTCAATATTAATATTTCTATGTAATTTAGAACAGCAAAAAAGCTGGATTACTTGCCTAGTAGGAATCTCAAAATTTGTAACTGGAATGTTTTGAGTTATGTTTCTTTGGCAGACATTTTAAAATTCACCAGTTGAATATTCCTTTAATCAAATACTAATAATAATATAAATATTTTATTTCTCTCCTCATAAAGGTTATCCTTAACACTTTGCTGATCAGTGACGAGTTAACTTGCCTTTTCCTATCTAAACATTGCTGACCAGTAAAGAGTAAACTTGTCATCGTACTAGCGTGTAGGTACGTCTTTCTACCATGACGGACAACTGTTTGGATTACAAAGTGTTCATTAGTGTTCTTTGTATTTAGGTTTTTTTCACAATTTTAGTTTAATTCCAAAGATTTCAACTATGATGAAATTCCTGGTTAGTAAAGTGTTAAATTTAAACTATGTGACACAAGCTAACAATAAAAAGTAATATAATTTGCATTTGTGAAAGATTGGTGTTTATACTAGATTTCAGAAACACCAAGCTATAACCTAATTTGTTTAAACATAAATAATGGATTGATAATATTGACAAATGATGTATAAATGATGCTTTCTGAAAACAATTTTTTTTTTATACAACTTAAAATGGCAAACAAGCTGATGGTCCACCTAATGGAAAGTGGTAACTGTCGCCTATAGACATGAGCAGTACCATGCATATAACAGAGTATACTGTTTCACCCATGATGGGGTACCATGTGTTGCCTTTCCTGAGGACTCAGTTGTTATTCCTCTGTACCCAGTAAATTCACGCCGTATCCCACCCTTGAAACCGAAACACAGCCATGCAAACACAACTGATTCACGGTTGAAACACGAATGGAGTGTGAGGAATGTGAGGAAATGTTATGTGTATATTCATGTAATTAATGCCTTCAGTTTCACTTTATTTCATATAACTTTGTCTATACGAGGTCTGTCCGGAAAGTTCGTATAAAAGTGTTCTGGAATGCGAGAAAGAGGAGTGGGGAGGCCAGGTAAGCGCAGGACCCCTTCCTTATGTCCCTAACAATGCTTCAGTTCTGGTCTGACCGCCGTGCGGTGCGAACTGGCTTGTCATCCGCCATCTGTGAAGTTACCTCTTAACGAAACCCCGTCGACATGGAGCCCGCTTCCGTTGAAGAGCAGCGCGTCGTAATCAAGTTTCTCTCGAAACTCGGCAAGAATGGCCGTGAAAGCAAAGAGTGGAAGACATCCGGGGAACCACGAACAAAAAAATCAAGAAAATCCCGCTCAAATGTCAAGACAATGTTGATTGTTTTTTTCGATGTTCGGGGGATTGTCCATCAAGAATTCGTCCCTCCAGGCCAGACAGTTGATGGAAAATTCTACGTCGATGTGCTCAGACGCCTCAAAGCTCGTGTGGCACGAGTTCGTCCAGAATTGGCGCGAGAGGGGCGTTGGATTCTTCACCACGACAATGCCCCTGCCCACACCTCTCTTGTTGTCCGTGAGTTTTTGAGTAAAAATTCCATTACGGTGACCGAACACCCCCCCTATTCGCCGGATTTGGCCCCGTGTGACTTCTTCTTGTTCCCAAAAACCAAATTGGTACTTCGGGGGCGGCATTTGGGGGACATAAATGAGATAAAAAAAGCTACGACGGGGCAGCTGAGAAACCTACAACCAGAGGACTTTTAAGGAGCCTTCTCACAGTGGAAACGGCGTTGGCACAAGTGCATTATGTCACAGGGGGAGTACTTTGAAGGGGATAAAATTGATTTACCTGAATAATTGTAAAATAAAATTTTTAAAAAACTTTTATACGTACTTTCCGGACAAACCTCGTATATAAATTCTTATAAATTTTGATATAATCATTGTATAAATGTAATAAAATTTCTATTCCACTAGAAATCTCTGAATATGCTCAACAACTGGGCATTGATCCAGAAAGTGAAAGCCATTTGCTTCCGCTGGCACGAGATGGCCTCATGCAGGCACTACCACCACCATGGAAAGCTTAGTAAGTTATATTCAATCCTTGTAGATAATTGATTTTTTTTTATCAATTGAATCTATTTCCAAAGTCATAATAAACCTTTTCATAGTAAATATGTGATTAAATAAATGACTGAAAAAGGGTCAAGTTAATAATATTTGGATATATAAGAGGTTATAGAAGTTTTTTTTGAGTTTTTCTATTTAAATATAGTGTTCTGTAATTTTTGTTTGTACGTGAAATGTTTTGTTTCTATGTATTTATATTTAATTTTCTTATCAGTTTATTTGTTTAAGTCTACCATGTTTTCTGACGGTTTGAATTATTTTGTATCCAAATGTATGCTAGCTAGCTACAACATCATATTGATTGATAATCATATATGAAAATTTATTTTAATATTTATATAATGTTTCTTCGTCAGCTACGATGAAAAACTCCAAACACATTACTATTACAATGAAGAGACAAAAAACACACAATGGGAGCATCCTCTGGACAATGTTTACAGGGAGTTGGTGAAGAGGTCGCGAGATGCGTCCATGCAAGATGACACATGTGCTTCTGTGTTGGTAAATATATATTTATTTTAAATATAATATCAACCTATCCACTTATGAATACAGTCTAAATGTCAGAGAAAAGTAAAGAAAGTATAATGTTTAAAATGCCATCAACATATAATCGTCCATCCTGATTGATTGTTCAAAACATTCACTGGAGATCATTTGAAATGAAATGAAATGAAATTTATTTGTTATAAAAGTAGTACATAATAGATGGTATGGTTATTTATGTTATATAGATCTCACTTTTAGTCTTTACAGACATGCAAATAAATATTTGAATTAATCTATTATTATTCTTTATATAATTCAATTAAAGTTACATATTATACATTTATTATTATTATAAAAGTATGAAATTATTGTTATAAAACTGTCAATATATTCATGACGAATGTTAAAATTATATCAAGTATGTATTGTCAAAATATTATGTTTTCTAATAATTATAGTTCAACATCGTTTATATAATCACTTATTGAATAGTAGCATTTGTCAATTAATAAATTAAATAATTGTATTTTAAATTGTGTCGATGGCAATTCCTTTAAAGAGGTCGGAAGTTTGTTGTATATCCGGATAGCCATTGGATAACAACTTCTTTTATATAGGTCCGTTAACATTATAGGCAATATTAGCTTATTTGGATATCTTCCACGATAATTGTCGACATTATTACAATACTTTTCAAATAAATAAGTATGTGTTTTAACAAAGTTACATGTTTCATAAATATATAAACAAGGTAAAGTTAGCAGTTTCAGCTTTTTAAAATATGGTACACAGCTAGTTCTGGGTGTGAGTTTGTTTATAGCACGAATACATTGCTTCTGTGCTATAAATGCTCTTTCCAATTCTGTTGAATTTCCCCATACCAAAATGCCGTATCTAAGATTGGAAGCAACATATCCATGATACGCCAATAAAGCAGTTCTTTCATCAGCTATATTTACAAGACGCCACAAGACATAGGAAAAACTATTAATTTTACTGTTCAGGTTTTTTATGTGTGGTTTCCATGTACAGTGATTATCCAACATGATTCCTAGAAACTTCACAATGTCACATTCATTAATTAATTGATCTTTGTGTTTAATCATTAAGTCAAATGTTTTGTTAGTTCGTTGATTATGAAATTGAATATATTTAGTTTTGTCTATATTAACTTTTAGATTATTTTCTTCTAGCCAATTAATAACATCAGATACGGTTTTATTAATTTCTTTATTATATACATTCTCAGAGTCATAAATATTTGGTATCGCAATGGCTATATCGTCCGCAAATAGAGTGCAAAAATGTCTAGTTATAGTCGGTAGGTCATTTATGAATAAAATAAATAATAAAGGACCCAAAATACTTCCTTGTGGTATCCCAATGTCTTTTACTTTATCGTCAGATTTATACAATACTTCGTTTAACTGTGCATCAAGATTTGCTACTTCAACTCGTTGAATTCTATGACTTAAGTAAGTTCTTAACCAGTTATAAGCATTACCCCTAAGTCCATATCTATCACATTTAGACAGTAATAGCTCATGTGGAACGAAATCAAACGCCTTACTCATATCAAAGAATACAGCTGTAACTTCAATAGATTTATCAACATTACTCAAAATGGTACTGACGAGTCTAAAAGCTGCTAGAGAAGTAGATTTTCCCTTTTGGAAACCGTTTTGATTTTCATTTAATATATTATGTTTATTTATAAATTTTGTCATTCTATTATGCATTGCTCTTTCAAAGATTTTAGATAATACTGATAGGAGTGCAATTGGTCTATAGTTATCGACGTGCTCAGTATTATGCTTCTTATGTATAGGTTTTACAATTGTAATTTTTAATCTGTCTGGGAATATACCGTGAAGAAATGACAGATTTATTAAGTAACTTAAAACGGGTGCTATAATAGTTTTGGTAGCTTTAAGTATACTTATAGGTAGTTCATCATTTCCTACTGATTTTGTGTTTTTTTGATTTTGTATTATACTACATATCTCATTTTGATCTGTTGGATATAAAAATATGCTGTCATTTATATGTTGAACATTTCGTACATTATTATTTTTTAAACAATTATTCTTTGCTACATTTATGAAGTACTCATTAAAAACATTAGCTATATCTTCTGGCTTGTCAATTACTTTGCAATTGTGTACTATCTGTTTTATGTATTGTTTTTTTATGTTATTATTAGTCTTTATGAGCTTCCAAGATGTTTTACATATATTACTAGATTTACTGATGATTTTTTTATTCTGAAGTTTTTGCGCTATATGTATACACTTTTTTAATACAGCTGAATAGTTCTTGTACTTTATCTTATTTCTTAAATTTTGTTTTTTATAATATTTAAATCTAAGGTAACGTTTTGTTTTACATGCCAAACGTATACCTTTTGTAATCCAAGAATTACTTTTCTGCTTTGAAACTATTTTTATTCTTTTGATTGGGATGCATAAATTATAAAACAATATTATCAAGTCTAAGAATATGTTAAAAGCTTCATTTACATCCTTTTTATTATAAACTTCAGTCCAAGATAGACTATTTAAACAGTTAATCAATCTTGTAATATTTTCGCTACAAAAATCTCTTTTTGTAATAAAATAATGTTTTAATTTGTTAACAGTCTTGTTTATTGGAACCTCTAGAGATTGTGCCGTATTATGATCTGATAAACCTAAGTGGTGTATCTTACTCATAGCGTCCGGAACATTGCTAATTATGAGGTCAATGCATGAATTTTGTCTCGTAGGTTCAGTTATATGAGATTTGAAACCATAGTTTTGAAGTAATCTGACAAAGTCCTTACATACATTATTTTCTTTCAACATATTAATATTAAAATCTCCCGTTATTATAATTTTCTTATTTATTTTTGATTTAGTTTTATGTAATAATTCTTCCAGTTTCTGTATAAATGTAAAGAGATTAGATTTATTGCAATCAGGAATTCTATATAAGCAGATTACTAAACAATTAAGTTTGGGTATTTCTATTCCACAACATTCGAAATATTTCTCACAAGCCATATCTTTTAAATATTGTATTTTTTGGTAATCCAAGTTATCCCTACATAGAATACATACTCCACCCCGTTTTTGATTTCTAGCATACGAATCAGCAAGCTCAAAGTTATTCAAGTAAAGATTTCGTTCATTACCAGATTTTATAAATGTTTCCGATAAGCAAATGACATCTATATCTCTATAGTCTTTTGATAATTCATCTAGAGTTATTGAAAATAACTCTTGTTTACTGAGAATGCCTGCAATATTTTGGTGTAATATTACTAAACTATTCGTATTGTTTGAGGTCTCGAAATAAATGAAACTTTTCTATGTCATCCAGAGAAGTATGTTTTCTTTCGACCGATTTACTATTATTTATTGGGTAAAAGTAGTCCATTATGGTTCTTTTGTTCTTTATTGGTTTGTTGGAGCTATTAATTTTTACGCCGTTTTTAATGTTGTGATTTGTTAATGATTCTAGTCCATTTTTGTAATTAATTTTATGCATAATGTACACATTTTTTATGTAAGTGTTTTTATATTCCTGATAATCAATTTCAATATTTAATTTCATAGATATGGTTTTAATAATTTTGTTTGGTATTGGATTTATTTTGGGATAGTCAATATTTAAAAATGTACAATTTGGATAATTTTGAATTAGCATTTCCAGTTCATAATTTAATTTTTTTACATTCAGATAGGGATTAGTATTTATACTTAATATAAATATTTTGTTGTTTTTAAATTTTGATGATATGTTACATATTTCTGACATAATTTTATATGGGTCCTTGTCATTAGTGCCTATAGATAGTACAATAATATCATTTTCAGTTATACTTGTTGAACTATAACAACTAGTTAATATTTGAGATGAAGTAGCATATGGCTTAACAAATCCATGAATACTATAAATATTATTCCATTTACCAAATCTATCTGCTAACATTTTCTCAGTTAATCCACTTACAAGTTCGCCCCCAAATATATGTATTTTACTTATTTTATCATATACTATAGTGCCTGTATTTATTGATTTCTCTGTATTAATGTTTTCATTATAACATAGATTAAATTGTGGACTAACATCTTCCGATTTACTTCTATTTGTACAAGTGCTTCTTGTTTTATTCCTTGATATTTTCTCACTTAGAGGGCTGTTGCATTTTACTTCTTTAATCAAAGGTAGAGTTCTATCTAGTCCTATCCGGTGAATTTCTTGTTTAAACCCTATTTTTTTTGCTTCTAAACTTTTCCTTCTTTCCTTTATTGATGTAATTTTAGGGCTGGATTTACAAAAATGGGTGAGTTTTTTAATCATTGTCTCATTTTCCAATATTGTGTTTTTTAAAGCAAAATTTTCCTGGAGTAAATTACTAATTTCGTTGTCCGCTATTTCTAGTTTTTTTCGCAAAATATCAATTTCACTTTCCATATGTTCTATTTTACTACAATCCATGAGTCCTATATCCGGACAGCTTCTATTCAATATATTTGTTGAATTAAGGGTGTGTCCTCCAAGTTCTTCACTATCATCAGACAATGATTGAAATGAGTTTTCAGTTGATACGTTTATTCTATATTTCTTATTTCGTAGTGTGACATTATCGTTATTTTCTGTATGTGGTGAGCTGAAGTATTTTATAAGAGGCGATGCTTTACAAGGAGTTGATTTCTTCTGCAGTTTGCTTACACATTCATAACATTTCCAATTTGCCTTGTTTTCTGCCGTCATAATACGAAAACGTCCAAAAGAGACATCAGTGCAATCTAAGTGATATAGTGTTCTGCATACAGAACATGTCAATTGTTGTTTATTATTTATTTCATTACAACATTTTCCGCATAACAACTCCATCTTGAGGTTATTTGTTGATTTTGTAAGTAATGTAAGCTGTTTATGGTTCTTTATAGTCTATTAGATAAATCAGTTCCGCTATTATACATTAAATGGAGTTATACTTCAAATGCATTAACATATCACGCAGTTTTTGTAACAAATATTAATCGTTTGTTGGGGATCGAACCACGGACCTCTTTGTCATTAACTGTTAAAAAGTGGTCTAGCAGCCGTTACGCTATCGGATATCTGTTTTCTTTTGTGAATTTATAAGTCTCTAGCTTCAGTGTTGCATGAGTAATAGTGACGGTTAACGATGACTTGTTATTTTCAATAGTTGAAACAGTGGGTGACTCACCGGGGCCGTTGAATACGCCGATGCAACTCACTTTTTTCAAACTGTTTTTATAATATTTTACTTTAAATATTGTTTATGTTCCTTTTAATTTTATAATTATTTATGGCTTGGGATATTCTGCAAATATTGATATCAATTTCACTTCCAAACGAGAACTTTTAGTATATATAACAATTTAAGTTCAGCGGAGCGATCTTTTTTGCGTCTGTACACTTGATGACCTTCAAGTAAACTCAATTTTCATGCAATTGATCCATGTCTCGTGTCTTGACATCTTTATATCCAAAATTATTCTCAGGAACTTCCCACCTCAGAAGAGATTACGAAAAATCTCGAACGACTGGAGACAAAAGTGGAAAGCGAAGATGACGAACTCTCAACAGACAGTGATAACCAAACAGATATCAAAGATAATGCATCTTCAACTTTAGTGCCTGGTGTTAAGCGTTTAACTCCATTGGGTCGGCCGCCCCTCGCGCCTTTAGGAAGACTGGATAAAAAATTAAGTGATATACGTGTTTCGCCCTTAAGACGTAGCGCTGAAAGTACACCTTCGAATAAACCAAAATTATTGAGGAACACTTCCGATAGAGATATTTTAAGTCGATCAACACTGGAGAGGCCAAAAATGTTGTTCAAACAGCATTCGGAGATTATAGATCTTAAAATGCATGTGCTTAATAGTCCTGAGGACGAGAATTTTAGCCCTTTGCTTGTTGCTGCTAAGGTAGACAAGGGGTTGCCATTATCAGGTAAGGCTTTATCTATTATTATTATTTTAAAGTGTTTAATGATAAAATCGTCGTATGGTCCTGGCATAGTGTGGGCCACTCCTTCCCATGGATGTCGTACAAGACGCCTAAGCGAACTTAATGGTCGAGGAATGGACATCAGTATACCTCTTAAAACATTACTAAAGCATTTGCTAACTAGCCTGCCAAGTGTGGCAACTACTGGCAACACAACAATTGGGGCTATGTTATGGCTAATGGCAAAATGTAATAAATTTTTTAATGATTCATATTTATCTCCAGGAATGTGTGATACAGTTATAATTACAGTGTGATCTATGATCTGCAGGATGTTATTTGTCTTTATATAATATAGTAAGGTTACTGTTTCAAATGAGATTGTCATTACAAGTTTTTTTTTTTTTATTTTGCAAATTGTCTAAATAGTCCTTATATTTTAGGTAAAGGCAGCATGTTTCTTAGAATGAGTAAATCAGACTTACCTAGTCCTGATACCGATAAATCGTTACCTTTGGATTCGATGACTAAAAGTGACCCTCCAAAAGGTATATTAAGGGAGAAAACGTCAGATTCACTCTATAAGAAGGCTGAGAATGTAGTTGGAAGGCAACGCCAAGCGTCTAGCTTTGATGAAGATAGAAAGATTGTAAGGTTAGTTATTGATATTTTAAAGTTAGAATGGAACGAAGGAATAGAGAAGATTCAGGATATCAATGAAAGATGATATAACAAATCAACAGATTACAAAAAAAGGGTTTGACAAAACTAATAGAATAGGTTGAAAAGTAAATGTTGTCAAATTGATTACTTTTTTTTTAAGTTGGTTAAGGATAAAATTCAGTATTTTTACGTTACAGGTTTAAACTAGAAAACCCCCTGGAATCAACAGTCAGTCCTGGATCAAACAGTTCCTCAGAGCAGAATGATGGACAGAGTTCCATCATCAGTGCGGCTCCGGCGCCATTACCATCCCCTCTTATACCTTCATCCCCTGTTATTCCAACACCAATCATTACATCATTACCGTCCACCATTAATCCTGGAATTTTGTTGTCGCCATTAGTGTCCAGGCCACCGCTACCTCCACGACCGGTAACAGATAGTCCAAGAGAAGTTAAAAGTATATCTGGCTCAGAAAAAGAATCTATAGGTTAGTGTACAGTTTATTTTATAATCATTAACAACAAAGGTCAATTGAAAAAACTGTATTGTATATACTTAACAATCATATATTTACTTCTATTAATAATTTTCCTACCCTTATCCTAATTATTATTTGGGGTCGGCGTAATATGCTTTTTATCCATATTGCAAAAAGATTTGGTTTATAGTTTTACGACCGGCCGCCTGCCTGATGTCAACCCTCTTTACTTCTGTTAATACGGAAGGTTATTGACTTTCGGTAGTATTTAGAATTTATATTTAGAAATAGGAACTATTTACTATTTATATATAGTGTGTAAAGTCTGTAGAAGTAGTATTCTCATTTAATTTTTTTTATCTGTCCGTCATAATCATTACAGAAAGTGAATCTCGTGAAAGCAAAAGCGTATCCCCGCGTCGTCGTTTACTACGACCACCCGCAGCCGATTACATAAAACCGGATCTATTCCAAAAGAATTTTCAAAAGATATCCGACCTCGTACGGCCGGGAGATATAGAGACTACTCCTGTGCATTTAGAAGAACCAACTCTGGATAAAGAAGCTAGACCAAGGTAACTCTAAAAATAAGTGTAGATATAAAACGGTTTCTATTTATTTTGAGTGCATTAGTGTTGGTTGCATTGGTTACAAATATATACGTAAATGTTGCAGATCTCCAATGATCCCGCAAAAGAATAAAATATCAATAAATCTCATGGAGAGTATAGAGTCCGAGACGTCTATAGACTCTCCAGATAAGGAATTCGCTAACTTAGATTTAAATGACCTAGATGAATTGAATGAAGACAAAAAATCTGAACAGACTGATAAGAGTTTGAATACACAAGATCAAGAAAAAGCCAGTGGAAACGTGAATGTAGAAAATACAGACGGTTCAGATAAAACTGAAAAGTCTGATGTTAATTCTAAAGTATCTGTAACTAGTCAGAACAAATCTTGTTTAGATAACGCAATACCTCGTATCAAAGTTCCTAATTTAGATCTTACGGAACCAGCAAAATTACAACAGTCGGATTCAGATAATTTTAAAAATGCTCCAAAGGATGATTCAAAATCCGCATCAGTTAGTATTGAATTACCCAAGACTCCACAGTTGAGAGTATCACCTACGTCTAGTTACTGTTCGGATTTACGATCCCCTAGGGAGTTCAGTAAACTTTGGAGTCCACTATCAACGTTTAGGCCTTTGAACAAAGCTGTAATAGCTCCTCAAATCAAAACATCTGAATCAGCTGCAAGCTTAGGCAAAAATCTAACCAGCCCAAGATTAGATGGCGTTATATTATCTCAAGGTAAATCTAGTTCTGATAATGTGGTTGTTGTATATCAGTTTGAGACACAAGAAGATGTGAATCCGAAACCTATAAAGTCTCCGTTGATACCTGACATGGGCACTAGAGATATGATTGAGAGAAATAAAGCGGATGAAAGAAGGAGATTAGAATTGTTTTTGCAAAAAGAATTAGAGAGTATTAGGATGGAATATGCTAGCAAAGAGAGAAAAATGAAAGCTGAGTTACAAGAAGCTTTAAGAGAGGCAGAAGAGAAATTTTTGACGGAAAAGCGGGTGAGGCTAGAAGAACAAGCCGACAGACATCGTAGGGAGATGGAGGAGGTAGGTTGTTTCAGAAGTTCAAACGATGGAAAGTTAGCAGTCATTATGTATGCTACTTTAACATATATATTTTTCATTGAAAAAAAACTTTACAGGCAGTATCAGCAGGTGAGCAGAATCATCAGCAAAAATTGCAAGAGCTTTCCAAAGATCTTGAAGATCGTTATCGTCGCGAGAGCGAAGCAGCTGAAAAACAGCATACGGAGAATATGGACCGGCAGAGAGACAGCTACCGCGCCAGGCTTGCTGAGCAACGGGTATTCTTGGAGATAGGTAAACAATTAAACTATCTTCCGAAAATAATTCATATTTCATTCTCAATTTTTGTTTTATTTCTGTTGCTAGGTGTTGTTTTTTTTTCAAACATTTGGCACCATTCTTTTTGTTGATTCCTTATCTTTCTAGAGATTTAACTTTTTGATGACGCCCTGAAGTTTTGGTAGTAAAAAAAATATCTCTACCTTTTCAGAGAATGAACGCGCACTATCAGACCTTCGTGAACAACTTCAAGCGAATTTGAATAAAGAGAGAACACGTATGATGGACGAGAATAGAGCTACTATAGAATCTCTGCGCGAGGAACATACAGCTAAAGTGACTGAATTACGACACGACTACAGAGCTGAGGTAATATTATATTAGTTGAGACTTGAGCTCTGTATGTAAACTTGTAGCCATATACAGCTTTAGACAACAGCGTTAAATTTGGAATATCTTCAGTTGCTGAATTTTCGCTACTACTAATAAATAAATTGATTTAATTTAATTCGTGCGCCCGAAGATTTTTTGTACGCGGTCGCTATGATCGATTGCTGATCTTCGATCGCCGTAAACACGCGACCGAAATAACGCTGAATGTGGTGCTAGCTTAAAAGTATTATATTAAAATAAGTTGCGTGGTGTGGACGGCAGGTGGAGCGGCTGCGCAGCCAGCACGCGTGCCACCTGCAGGAGGTGCGCGCGCGCCTGCAGCGCCGCCCGCCGCCCGCCGACCTGCCCGACAAGTACCGCTGCCTCAAGCACAAGTACGCGCGCCTCAAGCACGACGTCAAGGTGAGCCACCCCGCCCGACAAGTACCGCTGCCTCAAGCACAAGTACGCGCGCCTCAAGCACGACGTCAAGGTGAGCCACCCCGCCCGACAAGTACCGCTGCCTCAAGCACAAGTACGCGCGCCTCAAGCACGACGTCAAGGTGAGCCACCCCGCCCGACAAGTACCGCTGCCTCAAGCACAAGTACGCGCGCCTCAAGCACGACGTCAAGGTGAGCCACCCCGCCCGACAAGTACCGCTGCCTCAAGCACAAGTACGCGCGCCTCAAGCACGACGTCAAGGTGAGCCACCCCGCCCGACAAGTACCGCTGCCTCAAGCACAAGTACGCGCGCCTCAAGCACGACGTCAAGGTGAGCCACCCCGCCCGACAAGTACCGCTGCCTCAAGCACAAGTACGCGCGCCTCAAGCACGACGTCAAGGTGAGCCACCCCGCCCGACAAGTACCGCTGCCTCAAGCACAAGTACGCGCGCCTCAAGCACGACGTCAAGGTGAGCCACCCCGCCCGACAAGTACCGCTGCCTCAAGCACAAGTACGCGCGCCTCAAGCACGACGTCAAGGTGAGCCACCCCGCCCGACAAGTACCGCTGCCTCAAGCACAAGTACGCGCGCCTCAAGCACGACGTCAAGGTACGCCTATTTATTCCCAATTTATCCAATCAGCTGGGCCGTTAACTTGTAAGTATAAAAGAAGCATTCTTTTCTACTTAATACTCTCGGCGATTCGACGATATATAGAATCCAGAGCCAAAACAATGCACAAAAACGTAAGTCAGAGAATAAATACTTCACGTCTATACAACTCTTATTGCTTTACCATTCTCAAGTCCAATCGTGCATAGAATGTTATTCTCACTTGTAGTATAAATCTGCCCACTACTAGCTGGATGCGATTGACTGTTGTACAATGAGATTTATTAGAGATGGTTTAGAGGTAGTGGTAGCAAAAATCTTAGTAAATGCCGCACAATTGTTTTATATCGGTGTTATTTAGGTTGCATTTTAGAAGTTGCGTGCAAAAGTTACATGACCTTGTGTCTCTGGTAACTTTCCTTTTTCGGCGTCGTTAGAGATTTCATTTCTAAATGGTAAATATAGTACTTATTCACATAATGGGTTTTGCTTTTTGGATTGTGAATTTGCAATTGACTGACATTATTTTTTATGATATTTCAAAATTGGTGTATTCGTTTTTAAAAACAACTGCTATTTTTGTTTTAGATGTCAATAGAACGTCGCAATAAACGTCGAGAGATGAGCATGACCACCGGCTCCGAAACTGAAAAGTCCAATTCACATAAAGCTAATCAATCGCTTGAAAGGTAAATGTAAGTTAAGAACTTTAATTGGAAATTTCAAATTCCAAAAATATTTGATTTTATGATGATATATAACCCATAGTTAGATCTGTTCGAGTTAGAATAAGAAGTACTTTGCGCCTGCAGCAACTAGAACTAATTTAGGGTTGTTGCAGAGGAGTTTAAATGAAAATAATACTTAGATTTGATCCTGGTTTCAAAAGACTCGATGACATTGAAATGGCTGAATGAATTTGAATGAAATTCGGTACAAAGATCAACTTATACAATTGTATCGATGAGTTTGTAAATTGCCTTGCTTATTTCCTATATTGTATAATGAAAATAAAGTATACTCATTCATTCATTCATTCATATTGTAATTATTTATGTCGCCTTTACTCACCTTTTAAATTTGGTATATGTCCTACTAGTTTCGAAGTCAATAGGAGCCCTTATTCATGAGTGCAGTTCACGGCTGTGTTGTGAGAGGCACAGCGTGACCAGCACGCTGTTTGTCTCTGTGTGTGTACAGTCTGCGGTGGTGGTAGTAGTAGTGGAGCCCGTTGTGTAGTACTGTGCAATCGTGTTTTCGCTTCGCCATGTGACTGGTTTGAATCCCGGTTTGATCCCATTGAGTAAACTTGAGATATCAGTGCGTACCACAGCGATAAATAGCGTGCTGGTCGCTTAGTGCTGTTCGTGACACAGCCGTGAGCCGGGCTCATAAATAAGCGTTTCTATTGAGTTCGAAACCAGTCGGGCATTTTTGAATTTAAATGTTGAGTGAAGCCGACGTAAATAATTACAACATATGCCGTGTGGTCCCGGCATAGAATAGGCTATTCCTTCTTTTCCCGTGGGTGTCGTAAGAGGTGATTAAGGGAGGGCAAGGGATGGGCAGCAGCCTATTAAAACATCTCCAAAGTCTAACCGTGGTTGTCAATCCGCCTGCCAAGCGTGGCAACTAGTGGCAAAACCTTCTAAGGAGGAAGCTTATGTTCGCCAGTTGGCAGTTAAAGGCTGGTATGATGATGATTCACAATAGTTATTATTCAACAAGATCAACCATATCCAAAATTAACAATCCTAATTGACTAGACTTAAATGCAACTAGTTAATAACCAATAAAACAATTCATTCCTTAATATTTTAATTAATGTTATTTTATTATTATATAATTTCGTAACATTTAAATGCTACAAAAAATTTTAAAATTAAATTATTGTAATATTTGTTTTCAATATTTGCACGCTTGACCTAAGTAGATTATGTAAGGTACTTTTAATTTATAAGATCAAATGTTTTATACCCAAAAACATTGCAAATAAAGTTTATTATTATTTTTAAATTTTACCAAAATTCTCATCTCCCCTCTTAAGGAGAGGAGATGGCAACTAACCCCCGGCAGAAGCACAGTCGGCCGGGGTTCAGGGCCCCAGGGAGAGAAACCGGCGTACAATGCGGGCAGAATCTAAGAGCACCGCTTTCTGCATCTTTCCCGGGAGTGAGCCGCCTCGGAATCCCAACCGTCTGAGATGTTGTTCCAGACTGGTTGGGATAAGACCGTTCACCGACATAACGATTGGGATGATTTCGGTAGATGTCACCCCCCACATTTCGGTCACCTCGTGAGCCAGGTCGAGATATTTTCTCTTCTTCTCGGTTTCGGCTTTCACGAGGTTCTCGTCATGCGGTGTATGGTGACATCCACCAAAAACACCCTCGAAAGTGCCCGGTCCATCACCACGATATCAGGTTTGTTCGCAAGAACAGTCCTGTCCGTGATGATGGACCGGTCCCAGTAGAGCCTGACGCTGTCGCTTTCGAGGACCGGCTGTGGCTCGTACTTATAGTACGGCAACCTCTCATTCGCGAGGCCGTACTTCAGAGCTAGCTCTTGATGGAGTATTTTGGCTACCTGGTTGTGCCTGTGCAAGTACTCTGTGTTGGCAAGAGCTGAACAACCCGAAAGCACATGTCTGAGTGACTCTCCGGGATGGCGACATGCTCGACAGATGTCCTCAGTGCCATCCTTCAGAATGTGCTTTCGGTAATTGTTCGTCTTAACCACCTGATCCTGTATTGCACAGACAAAACCCTCGGTCTCTCCGAAGAGATCACCGAACTGTAGCCAGTGCACGGAGGTCTTCGTGTTTACGTACGGCCCGTGAAGGGCTTTGAAGAACCTTCCGTGCAACTCCTTCTCTTTCCATACGGCCTCCCGCTGAGAGGTACCCAAAACTTCGGGTTATTATTATTATTATTAATTACAGATGCAAGGAAGTGAACGAAACATCAGTGAGCGCGGTCATAGAACCCGAGCCCGCTAGGTATCGTGTGAACAACAACCCAACGATCAAGTACAATGACAACGAGACCTCGCATTCTGAAAGCAACGCTCATAAATCATACAACGCAGACAATAATAATGAAGACTGGAAACACAAACGCGAATGTGTGAGTACAAGGTTTCTACATATAGAAATAGAATAGAAATAGAAATTTGTTATTTGACAAAAATACAATATATGTAATTCGGGGTTCAAACTCTCATAAGCAAATGTATTAACAATCCAAACATTCCAACAGACTAAAAAAGACGGTCGTTCTCAATCTGGTTGTATTTTTATTTTATGATTTTTATTTCATGTTTTTTTACCTTATATACCTCCGTCATTTATAAATTGATTTGGCAAATTCTTTTCCTATTTGCAAGGATATCATTGATTTCATGAAAAACAATTTAGAAAATTGTTCGTTTTTTAATCATAACAACTGGTTTTATCACGATTGAATCAGTATTTTTTTGTAGAACGAAATCTTAAATTTTAAAAACCAAAATAATTTTTTTAGAGATATAGTAAATTACTGCAGCGGCCAGCAACTGAGGCATTGAACGTGCAAATGTGGGCCGAGGCGTAGCCGAGGCACACATACGTGAGTCCATTAATGCCTAGTTGTGGCCAAGACTTGTATAGTACTTTTCTCAAACAATGCGCGGAAATCAAAAACACAATTTTACTTTTTAAGTTCAATGACGAATAACGAACAATAATAATTTTTCACGCGCCATAATGTTCCTTTGTTTTTTTTCAATAAACAGCTTTCTATTTGCAAGTCAGTTCGAAATTTAAATAAAACCTTTTATTAGTCACCTCCTTGGCAGCCATGTTTCGAAGTAAAAGGTCATTCCATTTTTAAATTACAGGACAGATATGAGTTTACATAGTAATTTATCTGGCTGCAAAACACGACAGATATGGATTTTCATACAATTTCAACAAATATTTTTTTCTTAAACATGCTTGAAAGTGTTATCATTATTTTGTCAATCTTCTTCGAAATAAATCAAAATTGCCGTACTGGTCAGATACATGTGGGCAGCGGCCGGCAGAAGTTGTACGCATAATATACGAGGATAAATGTGGTAAAATTAATAATTTAATTTTTAACTAATCATCTCATTGGTACCGTTGTATACCGACAGTGTAGGCGGAGTTACCGTTCCATTTTCGTCTTAAAATAATCTCTATTTATATTTTAAATATCTGACGGTGAATGGTTTTTATACGTGTTCTCAGAGAGCACCATCCGAAGATATTTCCCACGCGTCAGCAGGGAAGCAGCAACGGCCGCCGCGTCGTGCAGCCGTCGCGTTCAAAGAGCCACCAAGGCCGCGGAGAGAGAAACAAAAAGACACAGGTCTATTGGACATTTCTTTTTGTGTAAATCAACACAGTCTTTTTTTTATATACTACATACAATGGCGAACAAGCTGACGGCCCACTTGATGGAAAGTGGTAACTATCGCCTATAGACATGGGCAGTACCATGGACATAACAGAGTATACTGTTTCGCCCATGATACCCCCCATGCGTTGCCATTCCTGAGGACTCAGGTGTTATTCCTCTGTACTCAGTAAATTCACGCCATATTCCACCCTTCAAACCGAAACACAGCCATGCAAACACAACTGCTTCACGGTTGAAACACGAATGGGACAGAGGTACCCAAGTAATCGACTTTTGAACAAATTAACATACAAGAATCAATTATATATTTGCATGATCGGATGTTGATAATATTGATCAATAATATTCTTGTAAACATCATACTTGTAACTTGTATTGATAAGTATGTAAAGATATTTCATTTTGTCATTAATTAATACGTTAGTTATTTACTGAACCGTTTATTCAGCCTGTTGTGAATTCGTTTACTCATTTATTTATATATTCTTCTTTAATTCCCCATTCATACAGTCATTTGTTATTCATTCGAAAATTCATACATTCATCGGTTCTTTCGTTCATTTATATTGTTGTTCATCGTTCATTCATTATCCATTTTTTCGTTCATTCATTCGCCCCGTTCTTTTGTTCGTTCTTATACCGTTCTTCTGTTCATTTATATTGCCCTTCATTCGTTCTTTAATTCTACCGTTCTTTCATTCATTTATATTGTCGTTCATTCGTTCTTTAATACTACCGTTCTTTCGTTCATTTATATTGCCGTTCATTCGTTCTTTAATTCTACCGTTCTTTCATTCATTTATATTGCCGTTCATTCGTTCTTTAATTCTACCGTTCTTTCATTCATTTATATTGCCGTTCATTCGTTCTTTTATTCTACCGTTCGTTCGTTCATTTATATTGCCGTTCATTCGTTCTTTTATTCTACCGTTCGTTCGTTCATTTATATTGCCGTTCATTCGTTCTTTTATTCTACCGTTCGTTCGTTCATTTATATTGCGGTTCATTCGTTCTTTAATTCTACCGTTCTTTCATTCATTTATATTGCCGTTCATTCGTTCTTTTATTCTACCGTTCTTTCGTTCATTTATATTGTCGTTCATTCGTTCTTTTTTACTACCGTTCTTTCGTTCATTTATATTGCCGTTCATTCGTTCTTTTATTCTACCGTTCGTTCGTTCATTTATATTGCCGTTCATTCGTTCTTTTATTCTACCGTTCGTTCGTTCATTTATATTGCGGTTCATTCGTTTATTCATTCTACCGTTCTTTCGATCATTTATATAGCCGTTCATTCGTTCATTCATTCCTTCACCCGTTTTTTCGTTCATTACTTCACCCGTTCTTTCGTGCACCCGTTCTTTAGCTTATTCATTTCCCCGTTCTTTCGTTCTATATTCATACATTCGCCCGTTCTTTTATTCATTCATTTAATAATTTAAGATATTTTTAAATTGAGTGCTTAATGCGATTAACATTTCATTAAAAGTGTAAAATTATCTAACAACTTAAATATTTTTAAATTATCAGGCGCTACCACAGACTGCCAAGATTCGTCAGATGCAACGACAGCTGACGAGAAATCCAAAGATAATGTTAATGGTAAGTGATAAGTACGTTATCAATGCTTTAGTTATTTCAAGTTATTAAGTATGAATGAAGAGGAAGAGGAAGACCGAGGAATAACTACGTGGGACAGATAAAGGAAACACTAGGCGTCATATCGTATAGGGAGATAAAGGATATGGCCTGGGACAGAGCTGGCTGGAGGAAGATGCACGAATTAGTTGCACGGACAAGAGGAAACTCTAAAATGAAAAGAACAAAGTATGAATGTGGATGGCTATAAGGGCAAAAGAAGACCTAAAAAGACATGAATGGACTTTGTGAAAGATGATTAGTACATTAATTGCGAAGTCATCTAAACTTCTTGATTTTATCACTAGAATCATGGTTGATTTATATTCTTATTCTTTTGTTCAATGCTCTTGTAAGAAGTATACTTGAGTATGGTTCTATTTATATGGTCACCTTGCTATACCATAAATGCTATTCCGATAGAATTGAATATATTCAGCGAAATTTCTTAAAAATTCTAAGTTATCGTTGTGGTTATGGGCGTATTCTATCAAGTTATGAAAAAATACTAGAAAAATTTAATATGACTCCCTTATCTATCAGACGGAAACAGATCGACTTACTTACTTTAAACAAAATAGGTCATTACCATATTCACTCGGCTTCTCTACTCTCTGCTTTGACCTTCGATATAAGAACTGTAACACGGAGTTCTAAAATATTTGCACTCTACGTTTATAAGAACAATACGTCGTATTATAATCCGCTCATCCGTATGTGTCGTACTTTTAATGAATTTTCCGCTAAATGTGTCTCAAATTGATATTTTCAACTCGCGTCTGAATGCCTTCAAAAATATTGTACAATCAGCCCATCAAGTCTCTTTGACATGTCCATATTTTTATATATTTTTGTTATTTGCATGTATTTCATTGTTATTTATCACATTCGTATGCTTTCTTTATATAATTTATAATTTAACACTGTCAACTGCTTTAACCATGCTGTGTGTACACCTGTCTGGGTCTCAATCTAGTTCATACTATTATCTTTATATAAATGTTTATAATGTTATTGATTGTAACCTGTTGTATGTACCTTCTAAATAAAATAAAATAAAAAATATGATATGGTTAGAACGTAAGTGAATAAAGAAGAATGGAAGAGAAAAATATATTATGCCGATCACAAATAATAATAATACAAAAAGTATATTTCTGTTATATTATATATATATATATATATATATAAATTATTCATGGTATAAAAAAAAGAAAATACATGACGCGAATGCCTTTTACAGGACACGGTCGTCGAAGATGTTTTACGAGGTTAAAATCGGCGTCTACCTCACGTCTCAATTACTCACCAAAGTATGTATCGATCGTACCTACTATTTACTTCATATCTACGTATTAAACGAGCAGTACATATGTAAACCCTTATATACCACTGTTATATTACTAATCTTACTAAATATAATATTTTTTTTTATGCAAACAAGCTGACGGCTCACGTGATGGAAAGTGGTAATTGTCGTCTATAGATATGAGCAGTACTATATATATTTCGTTCATGATACTCCCCATGTATTGCCATTCCTGAGGACTCGGGTGTTATTCCTCTGTACTCTGTAAATTCATGCCATATCCCACCCTTCAAATCGAATCACGGCCATGCAAACACAACTGCTTCACGGTAGAAACACGAATGGGACAGAGGTGGCCAAGCAAACGACTTGTACAAAGTCTCCCTCTAAAAAATAATAAAATTGCATTTAGACGATATCTATGTTTTTATATATTAATTCTTAATTATCTTATAGGAGATAATTAAGAATTTTTAGACCATATTTTTTTTTTTCTGTTTCTATGTTGGTTCTGTTATCACGTAAAAACTATTTCATGAAATTGGATGCGGCATTCACAGTTGTATCTCTGAAGGTTTAATTTAAAAATTGTTTTTATCTAGAAGTAGTCAGTTTCATTAATTTTTCTATTTTTGACATTTAAGCGTACGAAGCAGCGTGCAAAAAACTTAAAACTAAGAAAGTTCCTCAAGATTCTTTTTATATGAATTTCATATCGGCCTTAATTGTCCACTGTTGAACATAAGCCTCCCCTCTTGTCTTGCCAGCAATTGTCATACTTGGCAGGCAGATTGGCAATTAGGCTTTAGGGATTTTTCAAGAGGGACGCTGTGTATCGATACGCAAGTTGGTTAAACACTTATTCTTTGAAAGAATAAATAGAACAACTTGTTACCGGCCAGTACTTACAACATTATTAGTGGCCAATACGTGAACATAATCTACTACATGCTGTTGTCCATACCTCGAATATTAAGTTCCCTTACTTACGACACCCAGAAGAAGGGAAGGGGTTTTTTTTTTTAATTGGTGATAATGGAATGGTAAACCTTACCCGCGCTATCGGTATACACCGGCGGGGCATCAGTGAAGGATGATAGGTGAGGATGAAGCAGGTCAGTTAGCCCATCGTGACGAATTCAACAAGAGTTGTTCACGATGGTTTCCAGGGGGAATCACATGGAGGTCGACCTAATAGGGCATATCGCTAGCAATGAGGCTGTCAAACTCCATTGCTAACAATCTGTTTCGCCCCAGAAAGGAAGGTGGCCCATTCTATGCCGAGACTAGACGACAGTATATTAGCATTATATAGATTTGCGTGCGTGTACTTTGCTGCAGGCGCGGCGAAGGCTGGTCGAGCCCGTTAGAATCACTCCGGCAACAGTTGCGAAAACTGGACGACATCGAAGATCAGTTCCCGGACATCGCGTGCCAATCTGCGTACAGTCTTAGGTATCCCTTCACTGAAATTGGTATGTGTTTTTCACAATTATTTTATATTTTATTTATTTAACGAAAACCAAGGCTTTAATTAATGTTTTATCAAGATCTGAGGGCCTACCATGAAATGTTTTCCGAAATTTCGGATCCGAACGAAACAAAAATTTGATGCTTAAATTACATGATACGTACCGTTTTAAAATATTAAAAATGCTAAAATATCGTTCTTTTGAACTTTTATGGTAGGATTTATGACAAATGAAATGTTAAGCTCCATTTACAGGGTCGATTTCGGTATGAACAAAAACACGAAATTGAGCCCGAAAATGCGAAATTTCATTTCATGGTAGACCCCCAGATATAGAAGTCACTTGTAGTATTTATTATATTCATATTATTATATCAGCTAACTGTCCACTGCTGAGCTTAGGCCTTCCCCATAAGGGAGGGTTTTGCCAGTATTTGCCACGCTTGACAGGCGGGTCAAAAACTAACCGCAGTTAGTTTTTGGTGGTGTTCTAAGAGGAACACTGCTGCCCATCGTTCGACGATTAGATTACCTTAGTCACTTGATTTAATTACGATACTTACGAGAAAAAAAAAGAATCTGAACGTAAAATATAAAAGCATTACACAAACCAGCATTTTCTTTTAATATATTGTCCTTTTAGAAATACGAAGGGATTAAGACCCAATATTGAACCTTGGGAAACTCCCATTTTGTTACTAAATGTTTTAAATTTTTCACGATCTTTGCAGTATTGGGGTTGACTGTGAGTTGATTCCTTTTAGAATTTCTATTTGATGTTGTAGTAAAGTTTTTATTCTGAGGACTAATAAAAACTAAATTTCTAATATATTTAAATCTTAATTCTTGTTAATTTAATTTATTTAATATTGATGATTAACAAAATAGCAATATTGTTAAACTATCAAATGAACTTAAACCTTTTGACGAGCTAGCAACAACTTTAATACTCTCTCCCTGAAATCGTCTTATTACAGAGAGACATATATACAGACAGAAAAAAACTACTTATTATTGTGAGACCAACTGAACAAGCAATTGTTTTTATTCATAGACAGATAGTTTTATGTATGTATTATATTGATGAGGTCAGATTTTAGTCAAAAAATTATATTTAGTTTTACTTTGTTTTCATTCATTTCTTAAATCCATTTCATCTTTATGTTCATTCCTGTTTCTGGTGCTTCATGTGCAATGCCTCTAACAGGTTAGAGGTTTTTAGTATTGGTGAAACCTAATAGCGGCTTAGATTTTAATCTTAGACTATTTTACACTGCTGTGGCCCTGGTTTTTCTATAAATAAATAAAATAAAATATTAAGTTATATGATAACGATTTTGTTTATTGAGTCAGAATATTGACAACAATAGTAAGACTTATACTTAGTCCAGCCATAAGTTCTGTTATAAGTGAAAATACTTTTTTTTTAAAGTAATGTATTATTAATAAAATTTATACCTACATATTTATTAAAATGTCTGCAAAAAATAAAAAAAAAATATTCTATTTGAAATGGCCACCTTTGGCTTTTATACAGGCCTTTAATCTGTCTGGCCATGAATTTATGGATTTACCCACTGTTTCCAAGGGAAATTTCGCCACTGCTTGCTCCAAAATTTATTTAAAAGACTCAATGTCGCCATGTCGTTTAGAGCTGGCCATATCCTCTAAAATTGACCATAATTTAAAGTCCAAAGGGTTGAGGTTTGAACTAGATGAGAACCAGTCTTCAGGTTTTATAAAGTCCGGAACGTTGATTTCAAGCCAGGCTTGGGTAGTTCATGCCTTATGATCAGATGCAGAGTCCTGCTGGAAAGTCCACGGTATATTTTTAAAAAAGTGTATTGTTGAAAGATTTCACAACACGATCCAAGATTGTATCTTGATATACTTTGGCTGAAGTTTTCACTCCTTTTTCAGAAAAATGTAGTTTGACTTCTTAATAAGACACGCCACACTGAACCATCACTGACGCAGAATAATGACCACGTTGTACCTTTTCGACCACTTAAGCAGCTTTTTTAGAACTGTGAGCGTACACTTTATCATTTTGCTTATTTGTAGTGTTCTTCAATCGTGAAATTTTTCCATCGGTAAAGAGGATATTTTTGTGCCTTTCACCTCCATATCGCGACGGAAGGCGTTTTCATTGATCCGCTCTCTTTAATTGTAAAGATTGATTTAGGGCATGTCCTGTATATCGACAATAAGTACCGACCTTCAGGTGTTTTATAATACACGACAGAGTTCTAGCGGGAATCTTCTAGATTGAGATTAGATTTTTTGTTTCCTAATGGGGTCTCGACGAATTCTGGCTTTAACAGCATTAACAGCCTTTGTAGTTCTAACAGCACGCGGCCGCCCTGATCTTTTCTGGTCTTCTACAGAGGAAGTGTTGTTGTATCTGTTGATAGTACGATATACAAACATAAGGCTGATGCCAAGCCATTGAAGTGTCTAGAATATGACCGACGGCTCCATGCCCACATTGTTCAAGGCGATCACTACAATACTATTTTCTATAACAACCCATTCCATATTGTAATTTAATAATGAGCACGAAAAAATATGCGAAATGGGGCGAAATTGAAAGAAGTTTTTAAAATAATAAACGTGTTCCAAATTCAAAATAATTAAAAATTTGAAAAAAGAAAAGTTTTTATGTAACAGTATTTATGGCCAGACTAGTTATTATACCCCTTTGACATGACCCGAACCGTGCTACTATACTGTGCTCCAGCACAGTATGGTGAGGGGATGATATAGATATAGCTAGCTGTGTCGCTAGTATGGTAGTGAGAGTGAGAGTGAGAGTGAGAGTGTGCGGGTGCGGTGCGGTGCAGGCGCGGTGTCGCGGGCGGAGCGCGCCGAGCTCGAGTTCGTGCGGCACCGCGCGCTCGTCGAGCGGGAGGGGATGATATAGATATAGCTAGCTGTGTCGCTAGTATGGTAGTGAGAGTGAGAGTGAGAGTGAGAGTGTGCGGGTGCGGTGCGGTGCAGGCGCGGTGTCGCGGGCGGAGCGCGCCGAGCTCGAGTTCGTGCGGCACCGCGCGCTCGTCGAGCGGGAGGGGATGATATAGATATAGCTAGCTGTGTCGCTAGTATGGTAGTGAGAGTGAGAGTGAGAGTGAGAGTGTGCGGGTGCGGTGCGGTGCAGGCGCGGTGTCGCGGGCGGAGCGCGCCGAGCTCGAGTTCGTGCGGCACCGCGCGCTCGTCGAGCGGGAGGGGATGATATAGATATAGCTAGCTGTGTCGCTAGTATGGTAGTGAGAGTGAGAGTGAGAGTGTGCGGGTGCGGTGCGGTGCAGGCGCGGTGTCGCGGGCGGAGCGCGCCGAGCTCGAGTTCGTGCGGCACCGCGCGCTCGTCGAGCGGGAGGGGATGATATAGATATAGCTAGCTGTGTCGCTAGTATGGTAGTGAGAGTGAGAGTGAGAGTGAGAGTGTGCGGGTGCGGTGCGGTGCAGGCGCGGTGTCGCGGGCGGAGCGCGCCGAGCTCGAGTTCGTGCGGCACCGCGCGCTCGTCGAGCGGGAGGGGATGATATAGATATAGCTAGCTGTGTCGCTAGTATGGTAGTGAGAGTGAGAGTGAGAGTGAGAGTGTGCGGGTGCGGTGCGGTGCAGGCGCGGTGTCGCGGGCGGAGCGCGCCGAGCTCGAGTTCGTGCGGCACCGCGCGCTCGTCGAGCGGGAGGGGATGATATAGATATAGCTAGCTGTGTCGCTAGTATGGTAGTGAGAGTGAGAGTGAGAGTGAGAGTGAGAGTGTGCGGGTGCGGTGCGGTGCAGGCGCGGTGTCGCGGGCGGAGCGCGCCGAGCTCGAGTTCGTGCGGCACCGCGCGCTCGTCGAGCGGGAGGGGATGATATAGATATAGCTAGCTGTGTCGCTAGTATGGTAGTGAGAGTGAGAGTGAGAGTGAGAGTGTGCGGGTGCGGTGCGGTGCAGGCGCGGTGTCGCGGGCGGAGCGCGCCGAGCTCGAGTTCGTGCGGCACCGCGCGCTCGTCGAGCGGGAGGGGATGATATAGATATAGCTAGCTGTGTCGCTAGTATGGTAGTGAGAGTGAGAGTGAGAGTGAGAGTGTGCGGGTGCGGTGCGGTGCAGGCGCGGTGTCGCGGGCGGAGCGCGCCGAGCTCGAGTTCGTGCGGCACCGCGCGCTCGTCGAGCGGGAGGGGATGATATAGATATAGCTAGCTGTGTCGCTAGTATGGTAGTGAGAGTGAGAGTGAGAGTGAGAGTGTGCGGGTGCGGTGCGGTGCAGGCGCGGTGTCGCGGGCGGAGCGCGCCGAGCTCGAGTTCGTGCGGCACCGCGCGCTCGTCGAGCGGGAGGGGATGCGCCGCGCGCGCGCCTCGCTGCGTCGTCGCCGTGCCGCTCTTCGTGATCGCGCTTCGCATCATGTGAGTTTCTGTCTTTTATATCTTTTACGTAGGTGAAGGCCATTCCGTAATTGAGTTGTAAAGATTTTAAAAAGTCGACAGTTAATTTAATATTTTATATGTAAGATTATCATGTTTCGAAGTGTCTTAAAAGAATTGCCGCTATTTGATACACAGCAAAATGCTAACTGACATCTGTCATAGTATATTTATAGATTCATGCAGATAAAATCATTCGAGTAGTCCAATGTGCATCATAAGTCTCGTTCCAAAAACTGGGTGTACCTTAGGGCACGATAATAGGCCCTTTTCATTTAGTCGTTGCACGATGTCAAGCGGGGTAGGAGTAAGATGGTGGGTTGTGTGGCGGCCGTGACGCGTGGTGTGACGTCAGGAGGAGCGCGAGGCGACGGAGCTGGAGGTGGCGCTGCACCGCGCGCGCGCGCTGCTCGGCGAGAAGGACATCCGGCTGCGGCACATCGAGCGCGCGCTGCGCCGCCTCGCGCCCGACGCGCCGCCCGCCGCGCTGCAGGTCCTCCACGCGCTTCGTCCACCTCCTTTGTACAGGGACACTTGCGGCGCTCAAATTTTCCCGCCTATTTTAGCACTACATACCTTTTTTTCCTAAAAATAACGACTACAATCGTAAATACGCACACGGATATACGATGAGATGTTTTGTAAATGTCCTACAATATAAATATTTGAATTTAGAATGCGGATTTAAGTGTTGTTAATTTTGTTTCGTGATGCGCAGTTTTTTATTACGCTAATATGTATCTATAAAATTATTATGAGACCAACACCTAAGTTGATCCTATCGATCACGAAAAGAATTCTGAAAATCGGTTAAGAATTGGTGACGGAACGAGTTACACATTTAGCCGAATTAAGAGCAACCTTCTTTTGGTAATTGTTTAAAAAAAGAACATGCACAAACAATATCGGCCTTAATTTATCAATTTGTGTATGGATAAATAATTTTTTTAGAGCACTACTGATTTCTGCCCACACAGATCGATAATACTACCTGTAGTACTATTAACGCGAAAGGATAGTTCATATTACGACGCGCATTTATGTACACAACGAGATTTGGACGCTGCAAAATTGTCCCTGTATAATGCGGCTTTTATGCAGTTTTCGTTCATCATGTGGAGCTGTGGTTGTATCATAAAATCATTAGTACGCCAGTAGTGTGGCCAGTAATATGGGCTTCTTTATTTATTCTTCTCCTTCTGTTTCAATAGAAATTGTAGTTGAAGGTATATATATTTTTGTTGTATGTCATATATCTAATAAAAAGGAAAATAGAAATAATTTCGCTCTTTCATTATCCGCATTTCAATATCATATTACTCATATTTGCTATATTCTGTTGCGGTCGTACGATATTTTCTTCTAAAACTTATTTGTTTTTTTCTTATTTGTTGTTTTTATTTTCTTTTATGGAAATGGCTTTGTAATTTCTTCAAACATTTTTCTGTTTTGGATACTCGATAATTGTGAATAGATGTTTTTTTTTGTTTTTTTTTTTATTGGTTGTTATTGTGTTCTTCTGCTTTGTGCATAAGTATAAAAGTGGCGAAATTATGATTAATAAATCCTGTACAAAAGTTGGACAGTATTTTTATTACTTAACATTGGATTACGACGAAAATTAAAAAAAAAAAAATCGTTTTCTATAACATGCGTATAATACGCATGTTATAGAAAACGATTCTGAAGAAAATGGGGGTATCGATACAAGAAAAAAATATAAACAAAAAATGGACTAGATTGAATTTTAACGAAATTAATGGACGTGTAATTTTTATTACAATTTTTATTTTGGTTTTTTAATAATTTGATCATGATGAGTTCAAATATTAGAGTATTTTGCATATTTCTAACATAATGACAAAAAAAAAACTATTGAAAGAATGTACATTCTTCGTAAAGATGTTTTTCACTGTTTTCTCCTTTTTATCACTGTCTTATCTTTTTTTTTTAAGTTAGCGTCACATTCCGTTTATTTTTGGTCATATTATTACTTCCTAACGCGTAGGCGCATTACAAATGTTCGGCATCGCTGATCTTTGGCTTCGAATATCGGCGACGAATGCGACCGAAGATTGCATGTGGCGCTGCGCTTACATGACAAGACTTTTATGTTGTCGAACGTGCCGCTAGCTTTACATGACAACACTGTCATTTTTATGTTTGCTTCGACTGTAATGTTACTGTTGCCTGTACAACTTTATACTTTGGGATAAATGTAGGACACAGGCACGCAGGAAGGGACGACGAGTGAGGCGTCGTCGGGCAGCGACCCCGGCGGCTCGGCGGACGAGGCGGGCGGCTCGGCGGGGTCGCCGCGGCCGGCGGCGGGCGGCGTGCTGCGCTCGCTGCGCGCGCTGCACGCGGACGTGCGCGACATCTGGCGGGCGCTGGACGCGCGGCGTGCGCATGTTGGTCAGTCTGACACAGCCCTTATTTCGAGTGCGAGTACACTGGGTCAATGACCAAGTTGTTTATGTGTATTTTAAAAGCGTCCAGGGATACAAGCTTTCATATAAACTTTGTGAAGTTAACATTTATAAACATTTATTTTTATTTTGGGTAGTAAATTAATTTCAAATAATATAAAGAACACGCATCGATTCCAGCTTCACCAGAGTCGAGTTCGTGTCACGCGCCGACTACATCGCAGACACGGATGACGCTGTCGGCTGTAAGTAAATATTATTGATTTACTATTGATGTTAGTGTGATCTCTCCGTGTGTATGTATGCTGTGAACCAGAGGATTATAACATATGAACAGCGATTAATAATATTCTAGTATTTATAATAAATAATTTAAAATTTTGTTTCACAAAAAAACACTAAATTCAATCGTGGTAAAACCAGTAATTTTGATTTATAAACCAAACTACTGGACAGATTTTTTTAGAACCAATAAAAAAAGTATATCCTGTCAAATGAAGAAGGATTTTCTAAATCGGTTTATAAATGACGGAGTTATGAGGTAACAAACATAAAAAATACAACCGAATAGAGAACCTCCAACTATTTCGAAGTCGGTTGAAAACATTTGAGTAAGAGTTATGCTTAAAGTTACCAATTAAAATAATAAAATTAATTTTAATAGTAAGAGAAGTAAAGAAGAGTGTTGAGATTATATACCGAAAAAACGAACTCCGTAGACATTTTTTGTACAAAAAACTTGTGAATAAAGAGACTATTAGAAATATGATATATACTGGAAATTTGGCAAAAACTGAAACAGTTAATTCAGAACTGAAAACCATTGTAAATTCTTTCCCATTTTTATTGGAAAATTGCAATCTATAATCTAAATCTATGTTATAATATAAATAAATAATAATATCTTATAGTACAATGCCATGAAATACCAAAAAAACAGCAATGTAATACTCGTATTAAAATTCTACCGCGACGCGCGGAATCAGCTGTGTAAGGTCAACGCCACAAGCGTACGAAAGTACCTACAAAAAAGCGCCATTGATTGCGCTCAATAGGTATCGCGCGTCGTGTGGATCGCAATATTTCAAATACATTGCGCGGCGTCAAAACTATGAATCGTTAATTATATATTAGTGGTGCATTTTCGGTGGGAAAATAATCTGCCATCTGATTTAGGCTATTCATCTGAATCAGCTGTTTTAGTTTTGACCTGTCCTGTCCCTTCCACCTGTATATAGCGCATATATAGAGTGGAAGGGACAGGTATTTTCGTTATCATTTTTTAGTCGCGTGTTTTTTTTTTTTTTTTATATCAATGCGTTTATTAAAACGTTTACAGCCAGAAGCGGCAACCGATGACCACTCAGATGGTGGGGTGGCGGAGAGAGCTAGAGGTCTGCGCGCTTGGCTGCAAACCGCCCCTTAATTAATTAATACCATGGGCTTTGAAAGCATTACACCACTTGCCGTTTAATAGGTGTCTACCATATCTATGGTAGACAAAAAATACTAATATGGTAGATAAAAATACTTTTTCAAAATTTTTCCATCAATTTTTTTTGTTTTTTTTTAGTCATAAATCGATAGGTGCTCACCATAGATTAAAAAAATATTTTCCCTTTTTTTCTTACTAATTTTTTTTACCCTTTTGGTGGTATTTTATATATAAATGGTACACCTGTTATGTTCATGGTACTTCACGACTATATCAATATCGTAGACTTATCTGTAAATACAAATGTCTTATGGACACTATATGACGTAATTCGTATCGTCTCTAAGCTGATATTTGATGATATATAGATAGTACCATCCTCGGTGTATGTGATACATCCTAAACTGTGCATTTATTTTTAACTATAAGATATAAAATTAGAATTTATATTACACATATATGCCTTTACAAGCCTCCGAGCTGAACATCAATTTGAACTGGAGCATGATATTTCCATTAATTCATTAAAATTTACAAATTTTACATTAAATGATTTTTTTTAATGCTGTCTCGCACCGCACAAAGTACTAGTAATAATGTTTTTTTTTATTATAAGAGAACCCATAGACCAGGGGTGCCGACTCGACTAGATCCAAGATCTACTGTTTACTGACGAAAGTCTGTTCGATCTACCAATTACATACTTCTTGAAATCTCAAATGAAACAACATATTTCAGTACACAATTATGTAGTATTGTAGTATTTTTTATTTTATTAAGAGGAAAAACATAAAATTGAAAACTATTCTTAGTAACTACTTATTTATATTAGTGTGAGCATTGCGTCTGAGCATCTTCCGTTAGATTAGCAAATTTTTGCATTGCTACGATCGACTCGACTAATAGTCGCGATCGACCTGTTACCCGGCCACCCCTGGCGGGCATAGAGCAAGAAATTACTCTTTTTTTTTTATAAAACATTTCTATCCTTTTGTTGCTTTCTTTTGAATTAAGAATATATAAAAAAAAAATAATAAATAAATACTTAAAATAGGTTTGATGTTCTAATGAGTAAGAGAGATATGTACAAATTTGACGTTCATAAGCGGCTAAAATGTCCTACATGAATAAATGATTTTTGAATTTGAATTTGAAATTTGAATTTGAATTTGAGATTAATTTATGATAAAGAATTTGCTATTATCGCATTTTTCAAAACGGAAATATTATGTTTTTATTTCAAGAAATAAATATAAAGTGGCATAATATCAGAAAGTGCATTACAAAACTAAGTTTTATTGCTGTAAGCATAATCAATCTCTGCTATAAAGAAAAATATTTTTTTTTTTTATGGTATTATTTACTTTTTTTTTTTGTTCTGTTTATGATTTATTGTGTTCTCAACGAGGCTAGTTAGATTTTTACATTTATATTAATTAGTTGTTTGATGTGTGTTCACGATGTGCGTATTTAAATTTAGAATATATACATATCTATCTATATATCATAATATATACAGTATGTTCGTTAACGAAGTCCATTCATTAAGACTAGTGTTAGTAATCATTAATAGGGTAACGTATTTTTTTCCAAAAAAAAAAAAATGTTTACTACCAAAGCTTAAAAAAATTAAAATTCTTGGGAAAAAAAATATTCTGTTTTTGCACCAACGGCACTACATAATAATGAGTTTGTAATTATCTTGTACTATGTGGTAACGTTTTGGCAAAATAAAAATTGAAAAAGAAAATTGTAGACTATATTAATGAATATTAATACAGGTTTTAAAGAATAGATTTCCTTAATTAACATACTGTATATTAATTTGTATTAAATTCCGAGTTGTATTACGAAATATGCTTTTAACAAAAGTAATACTAGTCGAGGGTCATTATTTGTTATTGATTTTAAAATTTTTATATGTATCTAATTGGAAGTTTCAAAATTGCGCCTTACCATGAGAGCAAGTATTCATAATTACAATTAAAAATAAAAAAAACTAGTTCGTTTATAAAAAAGCGCGGGAAAGCTATCTTTACTTTTTAAAAGAATCTCATATACGTACATCGTGATTTATTAATAAGTCTTTAATTACGATTAATACGATGGCTTAATTCACAAATGTACATATTAGTCAATTTTACAAATTACTGGCTCATTTTTTTTTTGTAGTAAACCACGGCTCTGTTGCTTTTTGATGAGAACGAAGCGTAGACAAAATTAAACTGAATCTAAAAACTTTTGGTTTTAAAACCAAAAAAAGTTTGTAATAAATACAAGTGTGAATTGAGCTATCGTCTAATTTAATACGTCTATTGATATCTAGTCAAATACCTCCCCTCGTCGTCCGATAGATGCGTCCCTTTCACATCGTAAACGGTGGAAGGGGACAGCATTATTTGCCCTCTAGACGAGGTACAGATGAATCTATTGATGCGATCATTTCGATCAGTGCACACATGAAAAAAAAAAACAATACAGCGCCATCTCTTTCTATTGCAACGAGTCGCTAACAGTTACGATTCTATCAATAGAATCGTTTGTACTTTGTTTACGGCGCCTGTTCGATTGGCGAAAACGTACATTCTTTGCCTTGCTTTAATTAGTAACTACATTCCTAGACATAAGATATCCAATGTTTATGTTGTGATAATAAATTACTTATAAATAACGATAAATTAAGTATTTATAATTAATTAATGTGATATAAGAGCTAAAAATATTTGATTTATTTAATATTTTAATGTGGAAATGTTAACATTTATAACTATCAATCATTTGATGAATTAACAGTGTTGCCATTTTAAATCATAAACGTAAAAAGGGCGTTAAATGTTTGTCTTTATGTCTGTTTTAATAAGGATTTTCTCTTTGAAAGTTGGTAAAATAATTAAAGTCCTATACAACTGAAGAGGCCGAATATTAAGCGCGCGAGATATTTATCTAGTACATACAAAATGCATAATAATCTAGTCAAGATATAATTATCTAGTCTTTATAATAAGCAGCCGAATTCATGCGACGCTGGATAAATGAGAAGGTAGTGTAAGATCAGCGTTGAATTCGCTGGATTCAACGCTGATCTCACAAAACAAAATAGGATTTTTTTTTTGTGTGATAACAAATTGCTGTTGGATCTAGATGGCGCTGTGTTGTATATCCAACTGCCTATACGAGTATAAGTGAAATATCTAGCGTCTTATTCTTTCTCATACATGCAATGTATGCGTATGTATGAGAAAGAATAAGACACCAGACATTCCTTTTTGTATTACTTGATAAATGTGTTTGCCATTTGTGTTGAGGGCTGGACATATCAACGCCATCTAGTAACGATGAAGTAAAGACAGTTTATTAAAATTAATTTCATTACAGTGCTGAACTTACATTGAGTTTTAAAACCGATCAATGCCATCAAATATATCCTATATAAATAAATCAATTATTTTATTGATTGAAATTTAGTCACATGGGGACCGTTAGTTTTGGAAGGTTTTTTTTTTATACAACTTAGAATGGCAAACAAGCTGACGGCCCACTTGATGGAAAGTGGTAACCGTCGCCTATAGACATGAGCAGTACCACGGACATAACAGAGTATACTGTTTCGCCCATGATGGGGTAATTTTTATAAATAGGGCATCCATTCCAGTAACGTTTATATGTATAAAAATATTTATGGCTCTTATAGAACACGTTATCGTAAATAATTGTAGCGGAGATATAATGGTTGCATGCTGCTTTAAAAACACGTTCGACCATTGAAAAGTATGCACTAATATTTGGTGAAAAAAAAAAAAAAAAAAGAAATTGTAATTAACAATCGTGTAATCGATTGTTCGCAACTTTATCAAACAACTTTGTCCGTGATCTAACATTTTAGTGTGATTCCTTAGCCAAATAATATTGTAGATAATTAGGTACTTAGTACTAGTCACTCAATAATGTCATAGTCAAAGGTGTAGATAAAGTGCTAAGTACGACGTTAGCGAACGTCGTTAGCTGGTTTGTCTAAGAAGTTATTGTCTGAGGAGTTTATAGGTTGGATTTTCTTTTATTAAAATTGATGTAAATGAAAATTCTTGTCTGAAAAATTTATAAGGAACATTTCCTTTTAATATTTTCAGACAGTGTTGCCAACATTTCAATAATTATTAGTTACCACTTTAAATATGGTGTGTTGCCATCTCTTAACTTGTTTACCATATACTGTAGTATAAAAATTCTAGACAGTACCTCAGCCACAATAACTTTTATACATACTATTCTAATCTTATTGTCAATATGACAACTACACTACCATAAGTATATGCTCACTGCTATATGAATAATAAAAAATAATAATGATCAATTATTTATGGTCGGTAGTTTGTACTTACCCTATTGTAATGTCCACGACTATGTAAACTTATTTTAAACCAAGAAAAAATACTGCATCCTATGCGTATACGACCATGTTAATTGAAAAAAAAAAAAAATCTCTGATGGTTATTCAGAGAAATATTTCAACTATTGTACCGCTATAGTGCAGTTCTTATTGACACTCCTGTGATGGAAAACACAGTTAACAAACCAAATTGACTATAATTTCGTGGCAGAGGTAGGCACGCTTGCCACGTTGGCTGCTGATAACATTGGAAAGGTTTAATACAAAGTTGGAAATGTATTTAAATTTAGTTGGCAACTCACTGAAAGCTGCAATCGAACATAATTCAAATTAGAACCTTATAAATTATTGGAATAGTGAATATTTCGAGACAATAATAAAATCGATTCTTGACTATTAGAAAATTGTTAGAGACTGCGTGTTTGTTTGTATGTCGAGTGACTGGAGTTATTGAAACTAGACATGGGTAATACAGCGTTAAGCTGTGCAATTGCGCTAACTCATTGCTGTGTTGGGTGTGTCAATTCGCCTTTTTTTGAAATGAGTAGGCACACAGCACGGTACTGTGAAAAGTGGGCTTTTAAACCAGTACGCACAAGTTAAAATTAATTTAATGTACTTAACATTAAAATATATAAATGAGTATAAGGAACACTAAAAGTAGAAATAGTGATTTTTTTTACGCAACTTAGAATGGCAAACAAACTGACGGCCCACTTGATGGAAAGTGGTAACCGTCGCCTACAGACATGAAAAGTACCATGGACATAACAGTATACTGTTTCGCCTATGATACCCCCCATGCGTTGCCATTCCTGAGGACTCAGGTGTTATTCCTCTGTACCCAGTAAATTCACGCCATATCCCACCCTTCAAACCGAAACACAGCCATGCAAACACAACTGCTTCACGGTTGAAACACGAATGGGACAGAGGTACCCAAGCAATCGACTTTTGTACAAAGTCTCCCTCTGGTAATACACGTTACCCTCAGAATTTGCTCAATGAGTCGGCGCAGTAGGGTGCGCATGAGTTGCTGAGTTGACGCGTTGAGAAGTCGTTGAGTTATTCATATGTAATTGAAACGATTTTAAAAATACTTAATTACACTATTCTATATAAGATCTTTACATAATTCGAAAGAGAATATACTTGAAAATTAATAGAATTATATATAAGTATGTTAGTATTTTTTCTTGGACAAATTGTTGTTAGGTATTCTCGCTAAGCGGGCAGACTGAAAGATACGATGTGTTAAAATCGTCTCAAGGGCTCACTATGTATTTTCGAATGGGTTATATTAAAAAAAAGATTTTTTTTTAAATGTACATTTGAATTCTTATTAAAGCTAGTTAAATTCCGTATACGACACTTTCAAAATTCTAAGAAAGTAAACACCGGTTTGTATATATGTATATGTAATTTATAATCTGTATTCTATATGTGCTGTCAAAAGAATTTAGGTAGTATATAAAAAAATGTATGATATAAAAATTCCTTGTCACTATGTTCGTTCACGATATACTCCGAAAGTGCTCGACCGATTTTTCTGCAATTTTGTAGTGTATATAATAGTATAGTGTTTTAATCCGATTATTAAAATTAGACTCGATCAGTGGCGATAAGGGGGAAAGAACGTTTGTCCGGTCAGCTAGTATATTTATATAACATTCTTCCATTTTTTTGTTACTGTGATCACATGAAAATAAAAAAAAAAATATGTTACCTCTTTTATATATTTTTTTATATTCATATTTTTCTCTTTTTTGTTCATATCATATTGGTATATTATATATTGTATATCAGCCAGTTACTATCATCTGCTAAACATAGACCTTCCCTTATTAGGGGGTTTTGCCAATAGTTGCCATGTTTGGCGGGCGGATTGGCAACTGCAGTTAGACTTTGGTGATATTTTAAAATAGACTGTTACCCATTCATCGACTATTAAATTCCCTCAATCGCCTCTTACGACACTTAGGTAAAGGAAGAGGTGGCGCATTTTATGCCGGGACCACACGGCAACATATCTATGTAACTATTCAGTCGCAGATGACTCAGTCGCACTAGGGACATATATTTGCTGAATAAGGTTTTCTTTTTAATGGTATGGTAACCCCGTCTGCGCTATCGGTATACACTGGCAAGGCACCAGTATAACGCAGACAGGATGACTGCACGAGGACAAAAGCAGACCAGTAAGCCCATCTTGACTAATTCAATTAGAATTAGCCACGATGGTTTCCAGGGGGAACCACGTGGAGGTTGACCTGACAGGGTAAATTGCTAGTAATGGAACTATTTGAGCTCATTACTAACAATCCCTTTCCCCCGCTAAATAAGGTTATACATAGTGAATCCTTTGAGACGTTGTACGATGGCACTGTGATAATAAAGTATATATATCATCATCGACCTCATCTACGGGTTATACTTAAATTTATTGGGCTATAAACGAGCCGCCAAACTAATGTATTTCAATATCAGATTGCTCTAAGTTACAGAAAGTGCGTTGCCAATTTTTATGTACCTATATGTATACTGTTTTGATCCTTTAAGATACTTTTAAAATAATATTTTTTTACATTGCTTAAAATATCGCAATGGGGTTTTTAATTTACCGCAGCATACAATGATATCGTTCGATTTTATCGTTACGATATAATACAGCAAAATTACAATGTTGCGGCAAACATCTTTTAACTTAGAGCAAGAAGGTAGTATAATTGAATTCTCGAATTTCTTTACTATACACATTTCAATTTAATAGTCAATCCTTTAATTAAGTGTTTGCTAGGTGCTGAAGAGAACGGATATCCAATTATTGCTTTAACAATATGTATGTTCAATTTATGTTGGAAAAAAACTGGACGGTACACAAATTGTTATTCTTTGAATGTTAACGCTCTTGATATTTGTACATGGAACGTTACAGAGTAGAAAGTGGATAGTTTAATATAGCGCGACACGATATCGTACGATTTTATCGCTGCGATACAATAGGAGAGCAAAAATGCAATTGTTTGGAGACACTTTTAATTCCCCTGCATGTTCACGATATCGTTATGTTGTGTAGATATTGTCGCGGAAAAATTAAAAGCGTCCTCATACAAGTGCCGTCCATCAGCTTGCTTCGAAAATACATATTTTTCATATGTAAAAATTTGTGTTTCTTTGTCGATATTGAATAATCTTCAGCATCTAGTTTTCCATTGTTCCTAATTACAATTTCTATACTTATCACAAATTTTATTAGATTTAATTTTTTAATGAAATATAAAGCACATACTTAATTTTTTATTTAATTAATTATAACAAAAATATACTATCTTACGTCCAAAGTAATTTTAACAATATTATTGTCATATTTGTAATAATAATAATGAATTTGAAATATTATTTATGAATTATCGCACAACTTGTGTCATTTCCTGTAGATATTTGACATTGGAACGTATTTTGAAGTTATCATGACACATATGAATACATATGAATTTCAATTATTATGATATTGTAATAAATATTTAATATAAATATTATATAGAGTAAAACAAAGAAAAAAAAAACCTGTGAATCCACTATGGTCTATACTATATTGTTAAATGTTTAAAATTTAAAACAATAATAATCAAATAAAACAAAGTAATAGTTAATACTTATATTTACCAAATGTAAGCTACAGTTACACATTACATGAATTTTGAATTGTACTAAAATAGTTCTGAATATAAAAAAATTGGTATTTTATTAAATTATGAACTATGTGTATTTTCGTTCTATTAAAATTAAATGCCTTTAACTGCCATACTCTGCAATTAATAATAAGTTTCTAGTGTTTGATAGTTTGTATTGAAAAGTCAGTTGCCCCTCTAGCGGTTGGTTTTGGAAACTCAGATTTCCATACAAACATATCTACGTAGACGTGAACGCGGTTGAACGTAAATATTTGTATGATACACTACATACTTAATTGGAATTGAATGAAATAATAGACAATGAAATTTGGTATATAAAATTGCTAATTTGCAACTTATATGATGTCAAAATATTTGCTAAATTATTTACTGATATTTATAATGAAAAAGTTTAATAGTTTTCCAAAACACTTATAAATAATATAATTATAACAAAATCGATATAATCGATCCAGGTACATACTGTTTCTATTATAAAAAATAAAATTAATATCGACATAATTCAGTGTAGTGTAACTGTCGCTTAAATAAACAGTCGTTCACTATGGTTTCTATCGAAATAAAAACATACGAACTTTAAATTTTGTTTCATTTAATTAAGTAGAAGTGTCCATTGTCCAACTAATTGATCACCTTGTTAGTATCGTTGATAGAAGAACCGCCAATATAAGTTTTATTGCACCTGTAAGGATACAATTATATATGTAGTGAAATTTATTTGCAATCAAAAGGAGACTGGTATCAAAGGGAGACTGTCATCAAAGTTAGACTGGTATCAAAGAGAGACTGTTATCAAAGGGAAACTGGTATCAAAGGGAGACTGGTATCAAAGGGAGACTGTCATTAAAGGGAGACTGATATCAAAGCAAGACTTTATAACCTAGCAGAGAATTAATAGTAAAGGTGGGATGGCAATCCGTTTGTGCTATCGGAATAGCGCTGACGGCACCAGTGAGTGATAGATGATGATGTAAGGTCAGTTGGCCATAGAGATAATTTCATTAAAAATTAATGACGATGCTTTCAAAGGGGAATGAGGTGGAGATCGACCTGATAGGGTATATTATAGGGCAACGGAGCTGGTATTCTATTACTAACGATCCTTGCCCAGCCTATACATTTAGTCTTGAACTTATACTTTTATTATTTATGGGGAAAAAACCACAGATTTTAAGTAATTACCAATTACACGTAGTACATTATACTAAGTCTGTCAATTACAGATTAGCTTTTCGCATAATAGCGACAGAAACGTTTTTTAAAATCTCTGCTCCTCTCCCTCTCACCCCTCTTCGAGGGAGACCTTTAACCTAAGTCGGCTTCGCACGGAACATTACTAGACTGATTTGGGTTGCGCTATGTGTGTAAAAATTCTATTATCCGATGATGAAAGACACCGCTAGCAAAATGGGTTAATTCCAATGTTGCATACAAATTTTAGCATTGTAAAAAATGTTTTTGGTTTTTGAAATACAAAATATGAAAATGAAATTACCCGAAAGTCCTACAGTCGCATATGAAATAGCAGCATTATACTGTATTTGTTTTGCGGGCGTTTTGTTGTTTGTTGGCACGACTGACAGACATTTTATTGGTAGAGATTCGTCTGATTGCAAGACGAACGTAGACCAGGATTGCCACAATTTTGATGATGTGTTCCAAGCGCTCGAGCTGAAGTTTTCAGGGACCTGGAATAAAAGAGAAATTGATGATTTGAGTACGTTATACTACTTCTGGTTGATAGAAGCTTGGATTCTTATGATAGAAGTCTAATTTTAGGTTTTTCATAGGCAATATATTTATTTTAATATATTATTTTTTTCTCAAGCCACTGCAGTTTCCGATCAGTATCCTGTATCGTGTGGTCCTGCCATAGAATGAGCCACCGTTTCCTTTCACGTGGGCGTTGTAAGACGCGACTAAGAGAGCTTAGTGATCAAGGGATAGGCAGCAGCTTCCTTCTTAAAATATCACCGCAGTTAGGTTTTGCCAACCCATCTGCTAAGCGTGGCGATAACGTGCAAAACTCTCATAGTGAAGGCCTTTGTTTAGCAGTGGACAGTTAATGTTTCCATCAGATGCTTTAATAGGTAATAATGGAAGGGTCATCCTGCCTGGAGGAGGGCTAGTTAAAGCAGATCTTTTATTTTTATATATTTCATGTGGATGAAAGCAGGTCAGTAAGCTCATTTTGACGAACATGAAAATTTGAAAGTATATTATTCTTATTTCGTGTATAATATAGTATATTTTATATATGTGGAAGTAAATTTGTTATTTATATATAATTATTCGTTTAGATATGTAATTTGATTATGTATATATGTATATCAATTTACACTTGTACCGCATTTGAGTATTCTGACACTTCCCTATGGTTGACTGGTAGAGAGTGCTTTCAGCATTAAGTCTGCCATGTACACATATATGTAGTAATGAATCAATAAATAAATTTGACAAGAATTAATTACAATGGTTTTTAGGTAAAATCACGTTGAGATCGATCTAATAGGGAATATTGCTAGTAATGTGGCTATTTGATCCCTTTACTAATAATCCCTTTCCCCCTCCATCAGATGGTAAGTTTGTTTGCCATTATATTTTCAAAAATTTTAAGTTGCGAAACGTTAAGATACCAACCACACGTTCATCAGGACCAGCGATCCACGTAAATTTTGGCGCTGGTAGACCAGAGGAAGTGCAGTTGAGTGACACCTGATTCGTTTGTTTGTTTCTTGTAGCTATTATTTCTGGTTCACTCGATGGTACTGCAACAGGATAGTAACATTTGAAATTAATAAAATATTTTTTTGTCCTTGGCATCGGATATCTCGCTCGTTGCTTTCATTTATAGATTATAGATATAAAAAAAGTAAATATTCAAGTACATACATCTCCTTTATCTTTGCTACAGAAATTACCATTAGTCTGTTTTTTTTTTAATGGGTGATAATGGTATTTTTTATGGTTTTTAATGGAATGGTAACCCCGCCCGCGCTGTCGGTATACACCGGCGGGGCACCAGTGAAGGAAGACAGGTGAGGATAAAGTAGGTCAGTTAGCCTACCGTGACGAATTCAACAAGAATTGTTCACGATGGTTTCCAGGGGGAACCACGTGGAGGTTGACCTAATAAGGCATATTGCTAATGATCTCTCTAAACTCTTGTAAATAATTTTAAATAAAAAATAAAGGTGGTTTTTCAAAACCTCTAAAGTAGCAAGTAGTTTGATTATGAATACCTGAGGACCACCCGAGGGAGACTTTGTACAAAAGTCGATTGCTTGGGTACCTCTGTCCCATTCGTCTTTCAACCGTGAAGCAGTTGTGTTTGCATGACTGTGTTTCGGTTTGAAGGGTGGGATATGGCGTGAATTTACTGAGTACAGAGGAATAACACCTGAGTCCTCAGGAATGGCAACGCATGGGAGGTATCTTGGGCGAAATAGTATACTCTGTTATGTTCATGGTACTGCTCATGTCTATAGGCGACGGTTACCACTTTCCATCAGGTGGGCCGTCAGCTTGTTTGCCATTCTAAGTTGTTTAAAAACAAAATACATTAATGAAAAAATCACCGTCAAAAAGATCTATATTACAAAATCGTTTTATTTTTTATTTGGATGTAAAATAAAATTAAGGGGGTTAATTAATAAAAACTAATACCTTCTACAAACCTATTTTAACTGTTACACTGTTTTGTTACTTTTATTCAAGCGGAGAATTTAGCACAAAAGAAAGAGTTAAAACAATTCAATAGCTAAAATAGTGATCTATCTGTCTATCCTATTTAAGAGCGCATCTTGTCGGTGGAGCTCTTGCCACTCACTACGATTTTCAGCGAGTCTCTTCACCTCTTGATAAAAATAGTATTATGAGAAGTTTATTTGCTAAGAAAAATATAAACAGACTTCTTTATTAATATTATAAATGTATATGTGTGTTTGTTTGTTTATCATCCGTTGGTTTATGACTAATCATCATTGACTCAGTTGTCATTTGGCATACAAATACTATTTGGGATGGAAAAGCACATAGGTTACATTTTATTTCCTTTAATTAATATACCCCAGCCACACAGACAATGTCGTGAATAAAGACTAGTATTCATTCATCACAACTTATCTATTGTCCACAGCTGGACATAGGTCTCCCTTATATATCACCACAAAGTACGATCCTGCGTTATTTGAATTCAGTGACTCCTTTGACTACTTGAAATTTGAACCGTTTTCAGGGGGGTCGCCCACACCACGCTTGCCTGCACGGAGTCGCCATAAAAATTAGTATAAACAAAGAATATTTACTTGTTGTGACCAGGGTGTAATTGTCGTGGCCCACCATAAACTTAGGGCCTTCTCCCGAGACCTCGCATTTGAACTCGAAATTCTTCTGTGTGAACTCCGTCGGTACTAATTTAAGTACACATGTTTTGCTGGCTTCCTCGCAGTCGATTCTGATGAGGCTTTCTGTCAATGACCATATTCGTGAAGCAGTCGCACCATGAGTCTGCAAGAAGAAATAGTAAATAAAAAAAAAAAAAAACTAAATTAGTAATCCTACTTCTTGGTAATTTAAAAAGAGCAAAACTTTGTGTTATCCACTAATAAACTCAAATTGGGATATCACATTAAATTTCGCAAATTATGTACCTATAAAATAATGGCAGTAATTAATTCGACGGTCAAATGTTAATTCTTTTTTGTTTTTCGTCTGATGAATGGACTATGTATGGTTCATATATATAGGTACCTAGTACATTATTTAGGGCCGACGGATACCTATTGAATTATGCATACCGCTAGACCCAGATATGTATCAGATACGCGTCGTAACATTGTTTAGAATTTTGTGTTAAAAATATTTATTATGATTGTAACCTTTTTGACGCAGTGGTAGGGATTGTATTGCGCAAACGACGGCTCGCGTTTGATTCTCAGTTGAGACAATTTAGCAATGATTTTCTAAATTAACTTAGTCTTGGTATTTAAGGGTGTGCCTGTTGTATAGTTTCTCAGACCACCATAATCCAAACTAATACTTTTTAGGAAATCTTTTAGAAGTTAGCTTAATATGAATATTTTAAGGCGCTACCCTAGATAGTCGTCGTCAGGTTTCTCAGACACATATAGACCAACATAATCCGGGATAATACTGTTTAGGGAATGTTTTCTAAGTTGGGTTAATATGAGTATTTTAGGACGCGCCCTTAGATAGTTGTCGTCTGGTTTCTCAGACACATATAGACCAACATAATCCGGGATAATACTATTTAGGAAATGTTTTCTAAGTTGGTTTAAAACGAGTATTTTAGGGCACGCACTTAGATAGTCGTCGTCTGGTTTCTCAGACACATATAGACGTACATAATTCAGGCCAATACTGTTTAGAAAATGTTTTCTAAGTTGGCTCACTATGAGTATTTTAGGGCACGCACTTAGATAGTCGTCGTCTGGTTTCTCAGACACATATAGACCTACATAATACAGGCTAATACTATTTAAGAAATGTTTTCTAAGTTGGCTTACTACGAGTATTTTAGGACATGCCCATAGATATACGTCGTCTTGTTTCTCAGACAAATATAAATCAATATAATTATTCTCATATTATAGGTTTGTTTAGTTGGAGAGTCAGGCGCTTTTTAACCGACTTCAAACAGAAGAAGGTTCTCCATTCACCGTGTATTTGCAATTTATCCTGCAATTCTATTATATGCAACTTACCACAGGTCTATATATCATGAACTGTTGATTATCCATGAATAGGTTGACCGACTGCAGAGAATCCCCTTTGCTGAAATCCCACGCGCATGTCAGTTTCCATCCTACATCAGGCACCCATTCTTCAGTTATGTGAACAGTTGTGCTATTTGCTATTACTGAAAAAAAAAAGAAAAAATAATGGAAATTAATTTTTGATAGTTTATGGCACGCATATAAATAATATAATGTATCAGTAAATTTAGTCAAAAATTAAGTATCTGTGTTATATAGGTATAAAAAATTATACTGTTCTTAAGACTTTAAAGAGGAATAAAACTAAATAGGCAAATACAGTCATTTGTAACACGTTTTATGATTTTTTTTTATTCAACTTAGAATGGCAAGCAAGCTGACGGCCCACCTGATGGAAAGTGGTAACCGTCGCCTATAGACATGAGCAGTACCATGGACATAACAGTGTATACTGTTTCACCCATTATACCCCCCATGCGTTGTCATTCCTTAGGACTCAGGTGTTATTCCTCCGTACCCTGTAAATTCACGTCATATCCCACCCTTCAAACCGAAACACAGCTATGCAAACACAACTGCTGTACAGTTGAAACACGAATGGGACAGAGGTACCCAAGCAATCAACTTTTGTACAAAGTCTCCTGGTAAAACAGCAAATAAACAATGTCACCGTGTGGTCCCGGCACAGAATGGACCACCATTTTCTTTCCTGTACGTGTCGTAAAAGGCGGATATCCTTTAGCCTCACTAACTTAATGGTCGAGGAATGGGCAGCAGCGTCCCTCTTAAAATATCATCGAAGCCTAACTGCGGTTGTCAACCCACCTGCCAAGCATGGAACCTACTGGCAAAACCTCCTAATAGGGGGAGACCTAGAGTTAACGGTTGATACGGCGAAATAAATATATTTACAAGAAAAAACAAAACATCGGCTTCAATAGTGGCAAAGCGAGTTATTTTTAGTTTACTAAGTAGTAACCAAATTACTGAACCGATTTTGATGGAACTTCTATGGAACTATATGGAACTATTAGGAAGGTTTATATATTCTAAATATTAATAGTTGTAGCACTTTAGCTGCCCGCTAACGACATGCTTTCTAACTGCATTGGGTTGACTGGAAGAGATCTCTGTCAGAGATAAGTCCACCCTTGTTCACAAAATTTATAAATACATTAACTATGTAATTTACAAGCGCAATAAAGAATATACATACATACACACATATATATATAATATAAATGAAAAAAAAATAGAATTTTATTTTTTGAAGTTCGAAAATCCAACCTGTGAAAAAAAAAACGTTAAAAAGTAGTTACTACAAAAAAAGATATTTCGATATAAAAAACTAAAAAAAAAAAACTCCAGAGCTCTCTCTGTTTAATATAAAGGCTCCCCTCGTTTTATTTTTAAATTAGACAAATTATAAAACGTCCTGCTGAGTGGAAGACGCCATCATTGTTCATTGATTCATATTAGTGAGAAGTCGACAATAAGACACGCATTGTTGTTAACTACGAAGAATAATAACTATTAAGTGGATTATGTATGTATATCTACGTACGCCAAGTTATTAAACATTACCCCTACATTACTGTAGAGGGCTGAAATAAAGCAATTGATATATGTCATATCATTTGATATATGTACACATACATATAAAAACATACTCGTATACATAAATGCATACACACACACGCATGCACGTTCGCACATACACACACGCACACACATACACACGCACGCATACATATACACGCACACACACTTGTACACAGACTTATGCACACATGCACAGAGACATCAGTCTGCTTTTACAATTTACTTACCAATATTAATTTTTATTGTTTTTTTTTTATCTCCTATTATTGATTATTGGTTTTTCTCCTTCAGGATTGTGTAATTTCATAATAATATTTTTGTTTTATTGTTTTTTAAGCTCATATCGGTCGGAGGTCTAGTACCACACGTTTTAACCTATTTCAGACACCAGCTCCTCACAGCAGTAGTCTATATTGATTCAATCTTATTTTACCCTTAATAACACATGTGTAAGGGGGGAAAGGAATTGTTAGTAATAGGTTCTAACAGCTCCATTGCTAACAATATACCTATCAGGTCGACCTCCAAATGGTTCCCCCTGGAAACCATCGTAGTTAATTCTTCACGATGGGTCGACTCACCTGCCTTCATCTTCACCTGTCAACTATCACTGGTGCCCCGCCAGCGTATAATGATAGTGCAGGCGGAGTTACCATTCCATTATCACCCATTAGAAAAAATACATGTTTAAATCTAAGTTGTTTGTGAGGAGACATATGATGAAATATGATCAACTGTTCACCAGAGGGAGACTGTACAAAAGTCGATTGCTTGGGTATCTCTGTCCCATTCGTGTTTCAATTGTGAAGCAGCTCTGTTTGCATGGCTGTGTTTCGGTTTGAAGGGTGGGATATGGTGTGAATTTACTGAGTACAGAGAAATAACACCCGAGTCCTCAGGAACGGCAACGCATGGGGGGTATCATGGGCGAAACAGTATACTCTGTTATGTCCATGGTACTGCTCATGTCTATAGGCGACGGTTGCCACTTTCCATCAGGTGGGCCGTCAGCTTGACATTGTCACATATTGTCATAATGTGGCCATAGTTTGCACAATGTTCCACTTTTAATTTTCAATAGAGTTCTAGACCTTAGGTTATGAACGTAAATACGAAGTCTATGTTCTAGTCCATATTACGCATGGGAGGTATCATGGGCGAAACAGTATACTCTGTTATGTCCATGGTACTGCTCATGTCTATAGGCGACGGTTACCACTTTCCATCAGGTGGGCCGTCAGCTTGTTTGCCATACTAAGTTGTATAAAATAAAAGACATAAATAAATATATTATTATATATTTTAAATCCTATACGTATCTTGCAACTCTGAGACTCGAGTATATAAATATACTACGTAGATCGCCTTAAGTCTTAAGGAGTAGGCTTAATTTGCTCAATTGGGCAGTCGTGCGCTCCTTAATACTTTAATGTGCTGTATTTGGGACACTTAACATGACATCCGTGTATGTGTTTTTAAACGCGGAAGTGTATTTGCTTAATATTAGATGAGCTATGGGAGGGCCACGAGAGGATAGAAGTTGAAAGGTATCTGTTTTTTTAATTCAACTTAAAATGGCAAACAAGTTAACGGCCCACCTGATGGATGGGAGAAAGGACTGTTAGTAGTGGGTATGTTAGTCCCCGCTGTCATCAATATATCCTATCGGGTCGACCTCCACGCGGTTCCCTCTAGAAACTGTCGTGACTGATTTATCTTTGAATTCGTCACGATGGGCTAACTGACCTGCTTCATCCTCACCTATCATCCTTCACTGGTGCCCCGCCGGTGTATACCGATAGCGCGGGTGAGGTTACCATGTCATTTTCACCCATTAAAAAAAAGGCCCACCTGATGGAAAGTGGTAACTGTCGCCTACAGACATGAGCAGTACCATGGACATAACAGAGTATACTGTTTCGTCCATGATTTCCCCCATGCGATGCCATTCCTGGGGACTCAGGTGTTATTCTTCTGTACCCAGTAAATTCACTGCCATATCCCACCCTTCAAAACATGCAAACACAACTGCTTCACGGTAGAAACACGAATGAGACAGAGGTACCCAAGCAAACGACTTTTGTACAAAGTCTCCCTCTGGTATCTTACTCTATAAGTTAGGATAATACACCACTAGGTCATGGCGCGTCTCATCTCTTTTCTATCCAGTTAACAAATGTAGTTTTAATGTCCCATCAAACAATAACACAGTCATATTGTCTGTTTATGAACCCCACACTTTAATTGATTTTAATTGGTCATGATTAAAACGACTGCTTGGACAATGAGCCCCATGAAATGACGCCTGTGAGAAAATTACATGCACTGGTTATGATATTTTTTGCAGTTATTTATTTTAGTCATTTATAAATGTACTAGTTATGGGGGAAAGGAATTATTAGTAACGACGTCTACCAGCTCGATTGCTTTCAACATTTCGTTTGCTGTCAGTTAGCCCATCGCGATTAATACACTTGGGATTCAGCACGATGGTTTCCAGGGGGACTACATATAGAAAGAAAGAAAGAAAGAAACTTTATTTTACAGAAATATGCGACAATACCCACACAGGGGTTAAAAAAAACCTATATATTAAGAATTATAATAATAATAATTCTTAATATAATAAGAAACAACACAAAAAATATTTATATATATATATATATATATATATATATATATATATATATATATATAAAATTAAAAAAGAAAAATAAAACAATTCGTATTATAACAGTTTCATCCAAAATGAGTGTATGTGTGCGTGCGTCGCAACACCTGCAAATATAAATCGCACAATGGGGTTGACAGTCCGCATTACTAACAATCCCCAACCCCTCTCTATAGTGATTAGTGAGGCCGTCAAAGCGCTTAGAGGCCCGTCCCGGCGTCGCACGGGTGGCAATTTTTAACATTTCCTTCACTGCTCTGCTCCTATTGATCGTAGCGTGATGAAAATTATACTATGACCTGCCCAGGAGTATGAAGAATAAATGTACTAAGATTCGTTAAAATCCGTCGAGTAGTTTTTGTTTCTATAACGATTTTACTGATTGCATTTTTGGCATCAGTATCGATCACTAATCACCCCCTGATAGTTATTTTGGAAATATATTTCATGTACAGAATTGACCTCTCTACAGATTTATTATAAGTATAGATTGATAAGGTTGATCGTAAAATATGGTATAATAATATTTTATCAAACCTCTTTAACTCCACTACTCAAATATGCTCAAACAATATACTCAAAGAGAGTATATTCTTTAAGTTAGAGTATTGTTATTATTTTTGTTTGATAATTTATTTATTTATAGAAAAACCAGGGCTGTATTAGTGTAAATAGATATAGTCAAGGATTCCAAACTAAGCCACTAATAGGTTTCTACAAATAGTAACAAGATAGATTAAAGGCACTGCACATAAAGCAACAAAAACAGGAATGACCAAAAAATAATAATAAAAGGAATGAAAAAAAAATGTTTTTTTTATACAACTTAGAATGGCAAACAAGCTTACGGCCCACCTGATGGAAAGTGGTAACCATCGCCTATAGACATGAGCAGTACCATGGACATAACAGTGTATACTGTTTCGCCCATGATACCCCCCATGCGTTGCCATTCCTGAGGACTCAGGTATTATTCCTCTGTACCCAGTAAATTCATGCCATAACCCATCCTTCAAACCGAAACACAGCCATGTAAACACAACTGCTTCACGGTAGAAACACGAATCGGACAGAGGTACCCAAGCAATCGACTTTTGTACAAAGTCTCCCTCTGATATATGAATGAATTACAAAGTAAAAATTTAATGTTGATGAAAATATGGCCTTCTTATTAATACAATACATACTCAGACAGTTTATGGATCGAAAAATTGCTTGCTCAGTTGGTCTCTCGCTGATATTATATTTTTCAAAAATAAGTTAATATTAAAAGTTCTAGAGAGAATATTAAAGTTGTTGCTGGCTCGTTAAAGAAACAAATTTTCTTTATAATTCGATGACACTAGGGGGACAAATAGAGTAATATTATGTCTTTTAAATAGTGGCTGAGATTATGATGCTTGTCACGTACTTGCTAGCAATATCAAATGGAAATTTGAACTATAAAGACAAGTTTAGGGAAACAGCGTCTTAAAATTTAACCCAATGTCAATTGGCTCCCAAAAAAAAACAATTATTACAGGGGAAAACGTAAAGAGCAAACAATAAAGTTTTACTTATAATAAAGTTCGAAAATTTGGCTGTATGGTCTAACTACCTTTGCCTGCCTTCATGGCAAATTGAAAAACAACAACAACCATGCTATGTTAAGAATGGGTTATCACAGAAAAAGTTGATAACGTTTCTCGTTTCAAACTGCCATTTTAGTTACAAACTGTGTAACTGGAGCTGTTTGCAATTGTGGATCGCGATATTACATTTTCAATCTGTTTCAAGTGAGAATTTTTAGCAACCGATTTACGGTTTGTATACATACGTACATACATATCTGTCACGCCTGTCTCCCATTAGGGTAGGCAGAAACAATGGAACGCCAAATGCTTCGATACAAACAAACCTCTTTCTCTTCTTCCACATTCATCAATCTTTTCATACACGCTCGCCGGTTACGTGTACTTTTAATTTGGCCCTTCTTCAGCACGTCGCCTATTTGGTCGACATACGTCCGTCTGTGGCGGCCCCTACCGACATCTACATTCATTCTTGCTCGATAAATCTCTTTAGTAATTCTTCTTTCATCCATCCTCTCCAAATGACCAAACCAACGCAAAATTCCTTTTTCGATTTTTGTCACAACATCGTATTTCAGTCTTTCTAGGTTTGTATTGTGATACATATATGGGAATGAGTGGGAACTTCCCTGATTTTGTCCTTTAATTTTGTAAGTCAGGATTTACATGCAATTTTCGCGTTCGAATTATCATATAAAACTTGTATCTTAATTTTTATATAATAATATATTTTAAATATCTTCATAAAAAGATTTCGATTCGGCAACATTTTTGTATGTAATATATGTTTAACGATACATTGGTAAATTATAATCCGATTTTAATGTTTATTTTATGAGGTTTCACCACCAATACGAAAACTATTGGTCTCATACTAATTTAGCTTTTTTTTTTATTGTCATGTATATATTTTGAAGTTCAGCCGTGTGGTATCGGCATAGGCCACCCCTTCCTTTTCCCTGGCTGTTGTAAGAGACGACTAAGGAAGGGCGAGGAATGGGCAGCAACGTCTCTTTTAAAACATCACCAAAAGCTTAACTGCGGTTTCCAACCCGCAACTACTAGGAAACCCCCCTTATGGGGCAGGCTATGTTCGGCAGTGGACAGTTAAAGGCTAATACGACAAATATATTTTAAAGTACTTACCAAATAAAAAACAAAGTAACACAGTGCATGTCAGTAATCCTCTATCAGCCATCACTATTAAAACTTTTACGACACATAAAACATTGAACAAAATATCTATATATAAAAGCAAATATGATGTCTGTATGTAACCGACGTTTAACAAGCACTATTCATACAGTTCAAAATGACAGCGCGCGCGCAGCATGCGTTGGTTGATTAAAGTTCATACGCATTATAAGTGTGCGCCCTTTACATAGGATGACATCGAAGTCGTTAGGTATAAAAATACGAGTATATATAAATTTCACGAATCATACTTTTATTTATGTCGTTTTTTGAACAATGTTTCTGTAGAAAAGTCATCTAGTTTCACTAGTATAATACTCTCTTAATTTTATACAACGCGATGACGTTTTACTACGTAAAATAAAAAAAAAATATATAGTTATATGCCTACGACTATACTATTTTTTTTATACCACTGAGGTGGCAAACAAGCATACGGCCCACCTGATGGTAAGCGGTTTCCGTAGCCTATGAACGCCTGCAATACCAGAGGTATTACGCGCGCGTTGTCGACCCTAAAGAAACCTCATTACCCCCCTTTTGAAGAACCCCATGCTGTAGTCTCTTGGGGAAAACCTCGGTAGGGAGCTCATTTCATAACCTGAGTGTTCGTGGGAGATAACATCTCTGAAACCACGTTGTACGCGACCATTTAGGCTATAAGGTATGAGGGTGAACTCCCTGTCGAATGCGAGCGAGGTGATAGAAAGATATATAATTAAGACAGTCAGAAGTATTAGTCGACTGTTGCTGTTGTGGTGAAGATAACATTTAACTCGCCCGCATGCCTTAATTGGGCATTATGTATACTAGCTGTATTATGAGTGAATTAGGATAAAAATAACAGTGTTGGAAAAATAAATGTTAAGTAAAATAAATAAAAAAAGTAATATATAAATTAAAATAATTATAAATCCACATATACATATTCGTTACGCCATTGGAATAGGCTTCTGCCTTTGTTTCTCAAAGGAATACCAAATGCTCCGATTCAAACAAACCTCTTTCGCGTCCTCCACATTCAATAATCTATTCATATACGTAGTTTTTTCATTAACAAACATTAAATGTTAATTTTAGTAAATTTGCTTTATTTGTACAAAATTCCAAAAAAAAAAAAATCAAGCAAATGCGTTCATTCAACAACAGAATAATAAGTTATAATAACTTTCAAAATCCAGGCGTACGAAGCTGCAGTTAAGTATTTAAACAAACATTCAAAAATTCTTTACAAACTTGCGTATTTGTAATGGCTAAATCAATTATTATGAAATTTGGCATTATTGTACTTAGGTAATATTTTGGTACATAGCAGAAGATATTTTTCTTTTATCCTAGTTATGCTGATGAAGTAGCTAGTGATTCATAGTGAAATCGTTAGTTTAAAAGTCCTTAAAATCGGCGCACGATAATTTAATGAACGTATTATAATAAAGCTAGCCGCTATACATTGTTTAGCCCATTACTTTTCATTTGAATGACTATTTTTTTATATGAATCTAAATACTTTTGTTGTTAGATCTAACATTGATTTCTAATAATATTGTATTTAGGGATTATTAATAATGCCGAATATACCCAGTCAGGTCGACCTCCACGTGGTCCTCCCTGGAAACCATCGTGCTGAATCCCAGATTTATTCATTAAGATAGGTTAACTGGCCTGCCTTTTCATTCTCACCTATCATCCCTCACTGGTGCCCCGTCAGCGTATACCGTATCCCTTAAAAAAAAAATAGTTTCAAATCAATGGGAATGGAAGTCCGCGTTACTAACAATTCCTTCCCCCATTTGATTAAACTAATATTAAACTTACAGCTAGACACTCGCTACTGTTTCCCCATATGAGACAGTTCTCCTTACCTATACCCTCCATAATTTACAACTTTATACACGTAGCTTACAATTATATATATGCACAAATTATACAAATACATACATACATATATATATATATATATATATATATATATATATATATATATATATATATATATATATATATATAAGAACAAAAATCCTCGGTTGTTTACACAGATATAAATAATACAGATTAGAAGGTTGTCGCATAAAACATAGCGATAGAAAATAAAGCTTTTTAAAAAAAAATACCTCTAGCCTCCATACAAGAATGCTTTTACAGTTAACATCAGTTTGTCATAGAGATAAGCAAGTTGAAATGGCAATTGGCTGGTTACATAGCTCGAAGAACCGACAACCGAAACGGAAGAAAGGTTCTTGAGTGGCGACTCCATTCAGGCGAATGCAGTTTACCACGACTCTCCACTAGATGGAGTATATTCATATTCATTTATTCAGTAACAATCATACAATTGTGTTTAAAATAAATTACAATATTTTATAAAAGTTAATAATGAAATAAACAAAAAAAGTTTAATTAGAAAAATTTTATAAACTTATAGATAGATAATATAAATGAAATTTAATTACTTTTCAGACACAACATTATTAAATTCGTTCAAAGTTTAAAAACGTGCTTCTAACAAAAGAGCTCTAAGTTTAGTTTTAACAATAACGAAACTGTCAGTGCTGTTCATATCAGTGAAAAACTTGTTGAATAATCTCATTGACTGGTGCAAAGCACAGTGTTTTACAACTCGAGAGTTTATTTTTTATTTTATGTTTATTTGGTCACCTAGCAATGGTTACACTGATAAGATTTAATATTAAAATTACTGTCTATTTATACTTGGTGTACAATCATTTTAAAGGAAACACAGCATGCTAATTAACAAATAAACAATAATATGGTATAACAATCTCTTGAGGTATTTGACATTGGTATAGTTTTTTAGATTCAATAGATGATTGCTTCACATAAGTATTTTAGCTATTTAAATTAACTGCAATGCTTTCCTATGGAAATCCCCTTCTGTATCGAAGTGAATAATCAAGTGTTGCTTCCAATGATTCAACAGCTTGCAAACACGTGGTACAGTGGAGTTGGCACCAAGAACAGTTCTACGGAACGGCACGGACATTAGACTGATGTAACTAGGGGGACAGTGTACGGGCAATCGAAAATGAAATTTGGCAAGAAGCTGAGAACTGTCAATTCTGTTCCTAAACAACTTATATAAGAACATTAAATCTATTAATGTTCTACGCTTATCAAGTGATACCATATTGAAATAGATAAGCCTGTCCCCGTAGGACACCAAGGTCTTAGATTGTCGAGCTGAGAAAGCCAAATGCCAGAGAAACCTTTTTTGTATACTCTCTAATCTTAAAATAGGGTCCCCCCTATTCTAAGGGATTCTAAGTAATGGAGATCGAGAATCCCATTGCTAGCAATATACCCAACCAGGTCGACCTCCTCGCGGTTCTCCCTGGAAACTATCATGGTTAATTCCTGTTGAATTCATCATGATGGGTTAACTGGCCTGTTTTCATTCTCATCTATCACCCTTCACTGGTGCTCCGCCAGCGTATCCCGTTAGCGCAGGCGGGGTTACTATATCATTTTCACCCATAAAAAAAAATCTTAAAATATGGGTTGGTGTTTAGGACAAGACATATCCACTACATCTTTATTTCTTGCATTTAATCTGATTTGATTTCTCTATTCATTACCATAAAAATGATGCATTGCAGGGAGTCGGTGTGTGCAGGTGTCTCGGGACTGTTTCTTACGGGAGTCAGTGTTCGCCAGTGGACAGATGTGATGATTAATTTATCAATATTCTTCATTTATCTGTCATCGAGCTATCATTTGTCATCGAGAAAATAACACAATGGACAACGAGTACTATGATAATATAATTTTGTATAATACATGACATTGTTTGCGTTACAACAAAAGGTTTTGTATTGCTGTCTAGTGCACATTGTAACTTAATATCTATTGTTGTTAGTGTACTCCGAATTCTGACTATAGTGAGTAGGGTTGATGACCCGGTTAGGACTATTGATTGTGTCCGATTTAAAATTTCGTTGTAAATCTTTATTAAATACGTAATAAATTGTTTATACGAACATATATATATATATATAATTGGATAGGCCACCCCTCTCTTTCCTGCCTAAGTTTCCTTAATTAGCCTCGCACGCAATCTTAAAACTTCTTAAACTTGAATCATACAGATAAAGCCAGGGGTCGTAAATAGTCTGTACCAATATTATAGAAAAGCAATTTTGATTGTTTGTTTGCGATAGATTAACTTAAAAACTACTCATAATCAAAGGGGGACTTTCTAAGAAAGTGCTGCTTGGGTATCTCTGTCCTATTCGTGTTTCTACCGTGAAGCAGTTGTTTGCATGGCTGTGTTTCGGTTTGAAGGGCGGGATACGGCAGTGAATTTACAGAGTACAGATTTATAACATCTTAGTTTTCATGAATGACAATGCATCAAGGGTATCATAAGCGAAACAGAATTCTCTGTTATGTCCATGGTACTGTTCTTGTCTATAGGTGACTGTTACCACTTCCCATCAGTTTGTTTGTCTTAGTTTGTTAGAAAAATTGCACATAAAAACATTCAATTAATTTTAAATATCCTTTTACCTATAAACAGCTACATTGTCAGCGAGTAACCATAATCATAACCTTCAACAAAAGAGCATATTCCTTTTTAAAAGGCCGGCAGCACACCTGCAATGCCGTAGGTGTTGTGGGTGACCATGGGCGGCGGTAGTCACTTACCATCAGGTGAGCCGCATGCTCGTTTGCCCCCTGTGTTATAAAAAAAAAGAGTAACTAACTCATTATTTTAAAAAATTCTACTTTCCCGTGCGAAGTCGGGCCGGATCACTAGTAAAATATAGACAGACGGAGTATCTTGTGAATAAAGTTTACAGCGGAAATGTTTCTTGGTTGGCACACTTCTAAAATGTGGAGTACATAATTCAACGCTCACGTAAAATCGAGGTTCGAAAGGAGACAGGCTGACTGATCGCAGGCTATTTAGTATCCGGGGAGAAAAACTACACTACCACGCTAACAATCTGTTGATTAAAACTTTCCCTACTAATAAATGTATGTACGTCTGTTTGTAGTATGTAATCTATGTATATAGATTTTGAATGAGCGTTAAAAATTATTTATTACTAGCTATATTCTCTGTCGTTGTTTATTTGTGTTATCG